AAGAGCCCAAAGGCGGTCAGTCACCAGTCAGAGGAAACCTCAACGCTTTTCTTCCTTCCTCCCTCCCTCCCTCATCCAGCGGTTCTCCAGCTCAGGCTTGTTTTGTGAAAAAGACACCCCCCCCTCCGGTGGACTTAGCAGGGCCCTCAAGCCTTTCCCATCTGGGCAAAGGCACCCTCTCCACGCACACGCCCACACACCCCAAATAAAATCGCAGTAGGCGTCAATCACAGACACCAATTGCAGTTTGGGATTTTCCCATTTGGGCTGCAAGGCATTTGAGGCAGTGCCTAGTGTGCTTTATTTATTTATTATTTATTTATTTGATTTATACCCCGCCCATCTGGTCTATACGACCACTCTAGGCGGATTACAACATAAAATAGAACATTAAAACCAAGAATACAGTACTACATAAACATCCAACAAAAAATTACAATACAAAATGAAATAAATAAATAAGGGGGGTCTTTCTGGGAGTGTCTCGCTAGGCAGCCCTCCGTTCCCTGGGAAGGCAGGGGCTAAAGTTCCCCCATTTAAGTCATCCGTTGTCGTGATTACTTTCTGTTGTGAATTTCCAGGAGGCTGCAACAGTTCCTCAATAGCTTCTATCTCAGAAGCTTAAACTTGGCAAACCGGGTCAAACTCCATGTTCCATGTGCCTGATATTAATTCATTTCTTGATTCATGTGATTGATAAGCATTACTTTTTCAGAACATTACTGATTGAACTTTTGTGGAATTGTGTGATGCATATGTACAGTTCACTGTCCATTTGTGAAATTTCAAAATGTTAGGGCAGTGTGTAATTAAGAGGATGTCGGCAATTTGGATATTTTGCCGATTGCTCAGAGATATTGCCCCCTCATGACTAACCAACCCCTCATGTGTCTATGGATTTTTCTTATGCAAAACATACATACAGTAGTTTGGCAGAAAGGCATACATTCAACATTCCTTTAGATTGCCACTGGAAAGTTGTCATCTTTGTCTAACGTTTTCCCAGAAAAATGTTGGCTGAGGAAGAGAAGGCAAGAGCAGGTGGCCAGAAACCCAGACTGGCAGCATCCTTTGAGAGAGCCTGCCTCCAGTCCCTGTGGAAAGAAGAACAGGTGGACTCTTCCAGAACGGCTGGTCTTCCACAAGGAAAAGGTGGGAGGCACTGACAAGAAAGTGTTAACATGGTCAGGTGGGTGGTGGTGGGGCACATAAGTAGAAGGTCCAGTGTAACTAACTAAGGCCAGCCATCTTTACCTCAGTGGTGGAGGTGAGCTTGGACCCAGGCGTGTGGTGTGTTTCACGAAACAAAGTGCTTTGGAACTTGTATTTCACAAGGTGGTGGCAGGTGAAGCCTGGCTGGCTTCTCTGAAGTTCCCCAAGTGACATGTGGTCACATTTTCTCTTAGATTCTGAAACAACCAAGAACATTGGTGGCACCTGAAAGACTAACACCTATATTGTGGTATAAAGCTGAGTAAATGTGTCAGTCTGTCAAATTAAACATCCACATAAATAGTCTTTAAGAGGCAACAAAATGTTTGGTTATTTTTCCTGCAGCAGGTTGAAACCTCTTCACCTCTAGAAACTACAGTATTTTTGTTGCCTCCCTCCTGTAGGACTTGAATCTGTCGATTTATCTTTCTGTCAGATTGTTCTCCTGTGTGCTTCTGTCTATTGCCTTCCTTTGCTTGCTACCACTTTTTTCTTAATCTCACTTTCCCTCACTTTATTCATTGCCCTGGCTGCTAATAAGTTACTACCTTCCTAAATTGCAGTGTTATTTATAAAACTCAGCTGTGCGCAGTTTTGTTTTTGGAGTACATTTTACCAGAATTCTCCAGGCTGTGTGGCCAGTGTCTGTGCAGCCTCAGGAATTCTGGCAGATGTAGTCCAAACCCACAAACCTGCGTGGCATTCTGTGGGAACACTGCCAGAACACCCCTTGGTTTAAGCTATAGTCTCACAATCATATCAGTTATTTACGCCAGCATACATGCAGGGGTAAATTGCTGCCCCTGCTTCTAGTCCTCTTTGTGTGTCCAACCGTGTGATAGTTCTTTAATTAAAAATAAAAAAGGCAACTTAAATATTGACAAACAGCTGGACATTAGAACAGTTAATTGATTGGAGAGAATGTTCCAAATGACGCCAGTTCAGCCTCAGTGAGTTTTAACGCTGAAAGTGGACTTCAGAATTTTATATCACAGCTCTAATCCAAGGTATTTTCAAGAGAGTTCAATGTAAAAGCAAAACAGCCTTAAAACCATCTCAAATAAAACTATGAAAGATGAAGTGAACAGTTGAGCAGTAAAGACAAGAGACATAGCTCCCAGAAAGGAGATTAGCAGCCCCATATTTAATACATAAAGCTTGTGGCAACAAGTTGATCTCAGCCAGCAGCTCCCAGGAAACTTGCAGCAGAGGGACACACTGCTCCCTTTTGCCAAACCTCACCTGGAAGAGGAGGGCCTCTCATGCCCATCTGAACAAACAGGTGAGCTTATCAGGGAGCCGGAAGTGCTGCAGCTTTTGTAGGTGCCAAGGGTGACGGCCTGGAAGGTGCCTGCCTTCCTGAGGGAGTCCACGTTCATGCTTTGCACCTCTGCTTTTGCACACTCTCCCTCCGTTTTTCCACTAACTGCATTTTTAACAATCTTTCCAGCCCCACGTCCGCCCTCTTCCCTCTTCAAGGAGCCGCTTCTAGATGGAAGGGATCCACCAAACAATAATGCTTGTGATCAGCAAGCAGAGACATGTCAAGAGAAAAGTGAGTCTTGTGGGAACCACAGAGATTTCTTGGGTTTCCTTTCCCAGTTTGCACTTTGTACACACTTGGTGGAGCTCCTGTACAGGCAATACGAATCCGTTACGAGTCTTCCAGGGCCCCTTGGCGCCTACGTCCCGTGTTCAGGTGAGCTTCTGTTATTGGAGATGGAGCCTGGAGACTGAAAGTTGGTTCTGGAGTTAAATGCTGTCTCCCTGAATTGGGAAAAACTGACCTTCTCCCTCTGAGGCCGGAAACCTGACCTTTGCATAGGGGTTCAAAGAGAGGAGAGTAGGTCAGTGGCCAGCGGGTTTAGCGGGAGGGGCCTGGGCCTGGATTCGCCTCCTTGTTGGCAATGTGGTGATACTTTCCTTGTCTCTTTCAGGCTTGCCAGATGCCCAGCTTCCTTTCATAAAAGTTCTGGATGTTGGTAAGGATGAAGATGGAGGAACTGTTTCCTTAGTTTGTACCCAACAGATTATTTTATCTCTTATTTACAGCTCTTTCATTTTCTCCCAAAAAGCTTAGGAGCTGCTCCTTCTTTCTAAGGCTTTTTTGTTTTTATGAGCCCAGTGAAAGGCTGCTTGGAGGCTTCCCTTGCTCTCCTCTCTCTTGCCACTATGGGTGTGAAGAACAAATGTTCCAAGAGCCTTACCTTCTTCTCTTCTCTTTCGCAGAAAATGAAATCATGCACCCGCAGCGCTGTGCCGCCATCACCAGTGACATGTGTGAAATGCTCCTGGGGGAAGAGGTGGGCTACCAAGGGTGTATGAGCAGCGTGGCAGCCTTCATCCTGGAGAGAGGTGAGCCCCTGGTTGGTGGGATAGAGGCCACCCCACCTGGGAGAGGAGGAAGAGGAGGAGGAGGCGTCTGTGCTTGGCTGTTAATAATGATTGGCCGGCCGGCAGTGCGTCTCTGGGCCCAGGTGGTACATCTATGAATACGCGGAACAACCACAGAAGGGGTGGATATGGCCTTCCCAGCCCTTCTGCTGGTACCTTCTTGGTAGGCTGTGGGAATTCTCTTGTGGGAATAGGAGGCTGGCTTAGGAGGGCCCAGAGTGTGATCCAGCAGGATCTGTAGAACATCTCAGAGTAAAGAAGAAGTGCCACGTAGATTCTGAGGTGGGAATAGGTCTCTTTGAACTCCAGTGCCTGTCCCAGGTCACAACACTGTGGTGGAAAGAACCCCAGTTTTGGCATGTGCTCCACCTTGCGGAGCCCTTCCCGTCACGGTGGTTGAGGGGCGAGGTGGCTCCCGAGTGGATGTTGCCTGTCCGGCAGTTCCTCTCTGTGCATCGATTGGGTCCAACTAGACCCCGCGGATCCCTTCATGCTTCCTTTCCTGGGCCTGTCTCTCCTCAGAGGTGGCGGAGAGCCCAGGCCCCTGCAAGGAGACTTACGAGCTGGTTGCGCTGGGAACGGGAGACCGTTGCTACGAGGGCTGGATGGAGTTCAGTGGCAGGAGAGTCCATGACCTCCATGGACTGGTGGTGGCCCGCAGGGCCCTGCTGAGGTGAGTGGCGTCTCCCTGGGGCGGAGTGGGGCGTAAGGAGCGGTGTGGGATACGGCACCATTTTAAACATGAATGGCCAGTCCTATCACTTGTTTTCCCTTTGGAAACAAGGGCCCCCGTGTTTTGGGCAGGAGCGGTTAAGACACCGCAGGAACCCTCTGGGGGTCTCTTGCTCTCAACCTGAGCAACGGTGATTTGTTTTCAGGAGGCTGGGTGTTTCCTGCTTTCCTTCGACAGGAACCTCTCAAGCCACCTAGGAAGTCTGCCGCCTGCCCTGCAGTCCTGTTGTTTCCACACAGGGTTCCTTTCGGGTGCCTTGCACTCCTGAGGCTTCTCTTGATCGTATTTCCTGAATTTCCCCTTGTTTGTCTCCTTTTGGCCACCTCTGTCTCCTGGCCCTCTCTGTCTCCTGATGACCTCAGAAGTCTGACGGTTGGAGTGGCTGCCTGACTACAAAGCTATATATTGTAGGCTAGCTCAGGTTCTGCCTTTCTCTTCAGGTATTTATACAAGCAGCTCCTTATGTACGGCAGCCAGGACCCTGCTACCCTTGAGAAGTGTATTTTCTGCCCTGCCGATGATGAGGTGCATTTGACTCTGAAACCCAAGTATTTCTTGCATCTCTACTTGAGCCAGACACCCAGCGGAGCAGCAGAAAACTTCCAGTGAGTGCCGCATTTGGATTCAGAATACAGCAAAGTTGGGGGCAGGGCGTGAAAGAGAGAGTAGATCAGAAGGGCTGGGACTGATGGCACATCTTTTGACCCTTGAAAGAAAGACTGGAGACAGAGCAGAAGAAATTTGTTCCTCGTTTTGGTTGGAGACAAACTAATAGTTAATAAAGCTGGAAGTGTTTTGGAAGTGGCCTAGGTGTCCCTACAATGTGTGTGTGAAATCTTTAGGTCCACCTCTGTTTCTTCAAGCAGGTCTTTAAAATAACACAGAACTCTGTACACACTGTTCCACCTAGAAGCAATTCAGAGGGAGAGCCACCGTCTCTGGCTAATCCCTGACCTGCTCCTTTTTGGCTAGCTCGCTGGCTTATTTCAGCCCCTGCCCTGGGATTTTGCAGCCCCTTTCTATCTAGGCCAGGGGCCCAAGCTGAGTTGGTGTCATTTTCCTTTCTTCTTCTCTGTCTTGCTCAATTGCAGGTCGTCATTGTCACTGCCAAGTCCTTCTGCTGGGCTCCATGTCAGCCTGAAAGGGGTGCTCAAGCCAGTTTTGTACTGCCGTGCCAGTGTCTTGTCTGCTTATGTTCACTGTGTCTCTGGCATCGATAAGCTCTTTCGCTGGAGCATCTTGGGAGTCCAGGGGGCCCTGCTCAGCCACATCATCCACCCGATGTACATCACCAGCATTATCCTAGGTAGCTGATTGGTTGGTTTTTGCCGTGGAGCCCATTTGAAAGGGATCTGAGCACAAGCTTGTGCTCTCCAAGTTAAGAAGGGGGGGGAGGGAGGGAGGGAGGGAAGGAAGGAAGGAAGGAAGTTCCAAGTTTGTAGAAGGAAAGCGAAAACTGATTTGAACATGAGCTTTGAATTGTTAAGACCAGTTGATCAAAAACCCTATTGTGGCGCTCCTGTGCTGCATCTTAGGGGCCCTAAGCGCATATGGCCGTCCTGGGGTGGTGGAGGGAAGGGAGGTGGCCTCTCAGAGGACGTGTCACCAAAGCCAGCCCTCCAGGCCCATCCATTCTCTTTGGGAGGAGGCGTTCACATGGCTGCCCAACAGCAAAGCCAGGCCAGGCAAGGCAGAGTAGCCTGAACACTGGCTGGGCTGTCGGCTGCTTTGCTGTCTTCCGTGGCCGCATCTTCAAGGATGCCAGGGCCCTCCTTTGTTCTTCCGGGCAGGGTTGGGGGGCCTCCAGGGCGGACCATATGTGATGCTCCCAGATCCGGTTCCACTGCCCTCTCTGCAGTTACAGGCTCTGTTTGTTCTCTTCTCTTTCTAGCTGATCATTACCAAGACAGTGCTCTGCTCTCTAGGATCATCGATGAGCGGCTGCAGCTCGTTCCTAGGGATGACATGCCAGCTCCTTATGGCCATAAGCAAGTGCACATTTTTGAAGGGCCCCGGGTAGCTCCTCTGGATACACCGCCTGAATGTCGCTCCTTGAGCCTCAACTGGTGTGGTGGAGATGAGATGCTAGAACTGGTGAATGGGACTGTCGGGATGGCAGTGCGGAAGTGAGTTTGGGACACTGTGGGGGAGGGACTTCCGGAGACATCCTGAGCCGGCAATCTTTCCTCCTCTCCCTTCCTCTCTGTCTGTCTATCTCTCCCTCTGTGCAAATGTGGGCATCTTGTCAGTTGTTAATTGGGTTTTTTTTTTTGCTGTCCTCTCGTTTTACCATCAGAGTTCTGTCATTGCTGGCAAAGCAATGGCCAGTTCTTGCAGTTTTCATGTCCTTTACAGAGTCATCACTCAGAGGAAGAAAAAAATTGGGTTGCTTGGAATAAGTAGGTTTTTGTGGGTTTGAAACTTGGGTAATTTGAGATACCTTCTGCTTTAAAGGCAGCCTAGATGAGAAACAACTGAAGGTTGCAAAAGGGATATTTTCTAGGGTGTCAGACTTTTAAAAAAATATTTCTATGTTTGAAGGTGGGGAATGATTAGATAATCGATTGATTAGGCATCCGTCAGTCTTGGGAGACTATGGTAATGTGCTCTGAATAGAGGACTAGGAACAGCATCTCGTGTGGCTGAGAAGGCCAATTCGAGAGTGACCATCCCTCCCACACTGAAGACATTTGTCTTAGATAATCACCTGCTGTACATCCTGTGTCAGTGCCCCTGTGTTGACTCGTTACCTATCCGCTTCTAAAAACCTATACATGGTGGTTTGTTCCTCTTACGTCTAATTCAGTTGCTACCTGTAACTAGAGGAATAAACTACAAGCTTTTTAAAATGAGCTTTCAGTTGCCCTGTATATAATCTGTAAAATATGGGCTTTTGAATCAACGCTCAGCAGTTCTAGTTGAATCTCCTTTTTTGTGAATTTTTGGGGCCAAATTTCATTAGCCATAGAGCAGAATCCTAGAATCATGGAGTGGGAAGGGGCCCCTCAGGCCCTCGTCTCCAACTCCCTGCTCAGGACATGATCCAAATTAGGCGTTCCTTAAGTGCCAAGATAATTTGATTGTCCCAGCAGGACCCTTTTGTGCCTGCTGTATTTTGCCAATCAGTTCACTTTGTTTTCATGCATCAGGAACACAGAGATTTCCTCTTCCTTTTGATGGATTCTCTATAACACCTCATCTGGTCTGTGATGCCATGATTGACTGGTGTCGCAGTACGGTGTTTTTTGAGAGTCTGATTAATCCTGTACCGCAATGTCAGTTCACATCACGAGTCCTGATATAAGTCTGTCTTCCTTCCCCCAGCATCACAAGCCCAGGGAACCAGTACCGCCCTAGTCGGCTCTGCAAGGCCGCCATGTTGAAATACTTCAGGAAGGTGGCCCAGGAGATGAAGAGAGAGGACCTGGCATCACTGCCCACATACCATGAAGCCAAGGTGAGCCTTCTGATCTCTCCTGTTGGCGTTTATCCTGGGTCCAGTGGTCTCTCTCTCCCACCCCCCAACATTTCTCTTAAACCTTCCTTCCTGACCTTCCTCCCCTCCCCTGATAGGTTCAAGCGGAGGTCTATCAGCGGGCAAAGCTCCAGATGTACAACCAGCTGAGCCGGCAGGATTTTGGCAAGTGGCCTCAAAAGCCGTTGGTGGATAGGTTTGCCAGCTAGCTGGGCCCCGTGCTAAGCTCTCCCTGCACACAAGAGATGCTCAGGCTTGAGATGGACAGATGGAGGCAGACATGAGCCTGTGAGTGTCATTGCACTTGGGAGGGGTGGAGCTAGAAAGGATTGGTTTTGGGGTGTTTTTGGTGTTTTTTTAAAAGGTTTCTTCATGACGGTTCTCACCATGGCCCTTTCCTATGCACAGTGCAATAGGAGGGCGGCCCGTGGCTGAGTGTTGAGGTTTTGGCTCATCAAAGATATTTCTGTTTGTGAGCAAGGTGTTGCCGATTTCTTCTTTGTATTGGTTCCATTTGGACGTAAGGAGTAAACCATTGTTTTGCCATTGAGGAAGCAAGCAAGTGCAAGACTTGAGAGCTTCTGTTTCTACTTTAAGGTCATAAACAGTGGCTAATCCTATCTGTGGTTTGTTGAAATAATGTGAACTGAAGAAGAGGAGAAAGTAACTGTCTCCCGTGGACGGCCTCTGTTTCTTTGGGTTCCAGGGACATGCCTTAAAGGCACGAAGCAAGATGGGCTGTTTCAAAAGGGTGTTTCTGTAGAGCTTCCGAATGCCCTCAGCACCTTGAAGTCGCCTCTGAAGGGCTCCCCTGTGTCTCATGGGGGGCCGAGGGCTCTCGTGCACAGGGACCAGGAAGACAGCTGGGCCTCTGCTTCTCCTGGGCCGTGTTGGGTGGCTGGCAGGGAGGGGCTGGGGAGGTCTTGGACCCAGTGTGGGTTGTGCAGCTTGCCCGGCCAGTTCAGCCGTGGCCACGTGGGATGACCCATCTTGCCCTTTGTCTCGGCCAATGAAATGTCTTTGGCCCCTGGCTGCTGCCGCCCCCCCCCGTGTCTTCACCTCGGGGTATCTGGTGCTCTGCTTGTGGCTCATCCCCACAACCCTTTCTGAACCCCCTTGGTTTTCGGGCTCAAGGAACGGCTCCCTACTTTATAATCCAGACAGAGTCCAAAGATGGAGGGGGAGGGTTTATTGAAGACACACACAGTAAGGATGGGAGATTGAAGAGGGGTGGGGCACACAGGGGGGTTATTTAATATCGCAAGGCTTTTTAAAAGGTGCAGCCATGGACAAACATAGGCAGTTCTGAAAAACAAAAGTGGCATTCTTTGTTTTAAAAAACCAGACATTTGCCATCTGTTTCATTCAAAATTCAGATCACGCAGAAGCTATGTCACATCACATTAGCGGGTGTAAAAAGTGACTGGCCAGGGAAAGTAAAGTTAAAAGAAAGTAGAAGGAGGGGCCCTGATAGACTCCCAGCCCTGCTACAGGATAGTGCTCTGTGCCAAGGAATCCCACCCCACTCCCAGCTCTCTGCCAGATATTCCCCTGGTGTTTTAGCAGATGGCTTTAGAACGTGAGATCCTGTTTCTGGGCAAATCAAGTGAAGTTGCTAGAGTAATGAGAAGAGCAGTGTGCACTTGTAAACCATTTTAACAGGGACCTTAATAGGCTAGTGTCAAACAGAATGCTTCTGTCACATGACGGAGGGACTCCTTCTTTTCTTAAATGACAAGTCAGAACTCGGGGACGCCCTGGGAGGCCCACACAGAGCTCTCTTCCCCTGCCTCCTGCTGCACTCTATTGGGCAGAGTAGCTCCCTCATGCAATGTCATTTGACACACTGGAGGTGTCCTCCCCCCACTGGGAACCAGGGTATCACAGAAGGGCATTCTGTCCCGTTCCCCCCCCCCCAGACAAGCGTAAGACAAAAACTCTAGACTCAGAGTTTTTCTCCTTTTCTCACCTCTTCGATCTGGTTGTTTGTGAGGAGTACTAGAAGTCAGAAGGGACCCCTTAAATGAGCACTAAGCAAAACTCTTCCTCAAGTTGAAATACCACTACCTTTTCTTTGTTTCATATGAAACATGCAGCAGAAGGATGGTGATTTCTTCAATTGTCCCAGAGTTTGTTGTCTGTGCAGAGAAGGGGCTGAGCTTGGACCTTGTTTGCTGGACAGCGACCTGAGGAAAATTAAGGTCCCGCTGAGCTTCTTATCACCTTAGGGTTTTTTGCAACAGGTTTAAATATTGGTTTTGAAAGTCATTTCAGATTTGATTTTTATTATTATCTGTTTTATTGTACATCATTCTGGGAGCCTTGGTGGATAGAAAAGCAGTAAACAAGTTCCTTTAACAGATAAATAGTAAATAAACCTGCCCCTTGCCTTAGTCCAGTAGCTGTCCACCATGAAGTAAGAGGCTTATTAAAAAGACGTGGAGAGGGTGGTGGTGATGAGGAGCCTTTGTTAAAGGATGGAAGAGCTCATGCTCCCTTCGGTGGATGTGTCCCATTCCAAGTTCATTGGGTTGAGATGGGGGGATGCAAAAATGGGAGGTCGTCCTGGCAGTTCCAGAGGAGTGGACCTGGCAGCCTTCTCTCCCCTCCTTCTCCTTCCAACTCTCTGTTCTCCCTTGCTGTGTCATGCCAGCACTGCTGTGAGTTGCACGTCCTCGTGGGTCGAAAATAGCTTCTGTCGGCAGCAGGGACTGAGGCTGAGGGTGAGGGGGTTGGTGCAGGGAGGCCGAGGGCAGCTGGGTCCAGAGCTCCAGTGTCAGGGACATGCCCCAGAGCAAACGTGGCCTGGCCAGGGCGGCTGGATCTGGTCCGCAGGAGCCCCGCGGTGCCTTCTGAGTCTGCAGAGCTAAACCCAGGGCGCCAAGAGAGGAGTGGGGCTGGTGGCCTTTCGCTCTGGTGCAGGGCCAAGCGGCGGGGGTGCCTCCCAGTCCTCTGCCAGCACTTCCGCCCCGTGGCAGCCTGGGTTGGCTCTCCTAGCAGCAGCCCCCGCCTCCGTCCTCCCCAGAGCCCTGTCCGTCTTGTCTCAGTGGGCCGCTCTGGATGTGCAGCTTGGACTTGTGGTTGTCGTTTTGGGTGGGGCCGCTGCTGACACGGTCCTTGATCTCGGCTGCCATGGTGAGGAAGGCCTGCTCCACGTTAATGGCATTTTTGGCGCTGGTCTCCAGGAAGGGCACCCCGAGGGAGTCCGCGTATTCCTGCATCCAGAAAGATTGAGACAGAACGACCGTGATCAAAGCTCAGGCATGCCATTCCTACGTATTCTGTCTTCTTGCGTTGCAAAACAGATGTGGGAAAATGTGTGTCTTTCTGTGCCTTTGGCAGGCTTGGCTGCAGGAATGCCTCCTGCGTGTGTGGCCTTTACTGGGGGATGCATAACATTCTGTCAGCAGATCCCTGAACCACTTTGGCCCTGTGCTTGCTTCCCTGCCCTCCCGGTACACGTGGGATATGTGAACCGAGTAGAACTACTTTTGTCCTCTCGGACAGAATGGGTTTATCTGAGCGCTTGGATGGTCCCCTTCCCCTTTTGATCAGGGAAATGCAGGAGAGCCACATTGCAAAGAATGCTTAATTAAATGCAGATACTTCAGTAAATTAATTGTTGTTTTAGTTTGCCTGTAGATAAAAATATCCACTCTGGAGGAAGAGAGGTGCATCCTTTGCTTTTAAAAGTGTGCTGCTTATATAAAAGCAAAGTGTGCTGTTTATATACCTCTCTGGGCGGTTTACAATTTAATTATGCAGGCTACACACTGCCCCCCCCCCAGCAAGCTGGGCACTCATTTTACCGACCTCGGAAGGATAGAAGGCTGAGTCAACCTTGAGCCGGCTACCCCAGGTCGTGAGCACAGTTTTAGCTGCAGTACAGCGGTTTAACCACTGCGCCAGGAGGCTCCTCCTTTAAGTGACACATGTGAGCAAAGCAAGATTGTTTGAGAAGAGGTACAATCCTCCCATGCGCGAGAAGAGGGGGGATGTCTCTTTTTAGGCAATGCCTCTGCCTGTGGTCTTTCTATGTGCCCTCTAAAATCTGTGTGGTTGATCAGGGGCACCTCGTCAGTTGGTAAAATGTGTTAAGTGACAGATTGAATGTTGCAGCCCCAACAGCTACTGCAGGAGACAAATCAGAGAAAAGAGATTTTCAAAGGAGCAGCCTTGTTTGTCTGTGCAAAACATATCCAGACAAAAATAAAAACGAAGAAACAAAAAAGCAAACCACCAAAGTGTAGTGGCACCTTAGAGACAAACGGTTATGTTTCAATGTGACCTTTGTGGACGCATCCAGTCCTTCAGACAAGCAAGACTGTGTTGTCCAGAAGGCAGCCCTGCGAGGGCCCTCCCTGCGCACACACGCCCTTTGCCAGGTAACACGTGCCCTGAACAAGGCCTGAAAGTCCTTTCAGGGGCAAGGGCAGGGGGAAGGAGGACAGGCAGGGCAGGCTCACCAAGGGGAGCAGGGGTACCTTGGCTGTAGTGTAGTCCACTGCTTTCTTGCTGGTGAGGTCGCTCTTGTTTCCCACAATCAACTTGTTGACATTCTCACTGGCATAGCGGTCGATTTCCTCCATCCAGAGATGCATGTTGTTGAAGGAATCCTGGAAATATGGGAGGAGGGGCCAGTGAGTGAGTGAGTGAGTGAGTGAGTGAGTGAGAGAGAGAGAGAGAGAGAGAGAGAGAGAGAGAGACTCCCCCCCAACCAAGCTTCGAAAGGGCTGTAGGCCTAGCCCCTTGCCATGAGCCGGAGCTCTCCTGGGCCACCATAGCTAGACAGACTTTCAAAACGGGAATTGGAAATCTTCCTGTATGACTTCTGAAATTTTTATTTGCTCACATACAGCATCTGGTAACACAGGTAGGAGGTTTCGTTGACAAGAGATTTTTGTAGATACATTTGCAAGGCTGTCCTAACCCTTTACATACCGCTTTGGAAAATAATTTCCTGGTGGAATATGCCACATTGATCATTTTTTAAAAATCTGCTTAGGGTCTCCCCTGTCTAACATCTGATTTCCCATTGTAGCTAACCACATGGCCTAGGAAGCCAGATGGGCAAATGAGGGCCTTTTGCTGACTGGTACTCTTTAGTAAGTGGTGCTCAGCAAAGCGTTGCCGTAATCATAGAGACTGTGCGCGGCCTTTGTGGCAAAGGGCTTGTCTAGGCACCTCAGTTAGTGTGGGCTGGAGTCAGCTAAACAAGGTCACTTAAGGTTGTGTAGAGGCCCAATATGTCATGGTTTGCAATCCTTGCATCCACATGCCACACAACACCCTATTTAGCCTGCCTCCTTAAGAAAGAATAGAGGGGAAAAATCTCCCTCCTCGTTCCTTTTTTTCCTCCTCCTGGAAGGAAGCTTTCCTTTTTTTTTCATAGATACGGGCCATCAATACTGCCCTAATAGGTTTAAAAAACAAAATGAAACTTTGCTTCTTAAATCTTCCCCTCCAGGAGGGAGCAGAGGAGGTTTTTAATTTCCCAATATCGTTAAGTGACTAAGCTTAATAATATTGGGAAATTGAAACTAGATGGGAAATTCGAAGCAGCAAGCTCCGCTTTGGTGCAGTCCCAGTGATCACACATGCTGGAAATAGCCAAAATGGAATGATCCTGCCTGCACCTTACCCTCTGAAAGGGAGCCAGAAAAGTGTGACTAGGACAGTCTGGTTTGCAATAGTACTTGTGTCCTCTGGTCACCGACAAAGGGAGAGAACTAGCCTGTCCCTATAGTGGGACATCATGCAGTCACCCACTAAGTGTTCAATAATGATATCTCCTCTGTGCGTTTGTGGATTCTTTTGAAAACAGCTCGCTGGGCTGCCCTCCGTAATCACGCCTTCTCTGCAGTCACCTCTTGAGCTTCCTTGGGTCCCTTTTAAGAGCTGCCTTGCCTCCCTTTGGGGAAGGGCTTCCTAGAGCCCGGGCCGGCTGGTGGGAGAGGAGACTCTTCTTCTTCCCTTTGGGGAGCTGTGCTCCTCTCACCTGGTCTGTCACATCGTACACAATGATGATCCCGTGGGCGCCACGATAGTAGCTGGATGTGATCGTTCGGAAGCGCTCCTGTCCGGCAGTGTCCCACTGTGGAGGGAACAAAGGGATGAGCCTGTCTGGTGGTTCTCAGGGGCAGAGTTAGAGTAGGCCAACCAGCTTTTAACTAAGGACCTCGAAGGGAGACTTCTGTGTGAATGTATTCATCATTAACCCCATCATTATACCCGACTCTCGGAGGAGTAAATCCAGACAGCGGCTTCCCTCCTTAGTGCAGGGGGTCTGTTAGCACAGCTCAGCAAGGGAGACCCACCTTTGACTGCTGTGGTGGGAGTCACTGCGTGTTTCTTGGGCTCAGTGAAGCTTTGCATGGCCCTGTCACCCATTGTACCCTACGTTAAAGGGAACAGTACCTCTTGGTTTTGTACCGACACCAGCAGGTGCAGCTGGCCAGGCAAGAGTAAGGAAAGCTTTAGGGGCTGAGGTTCCCTCAGGTTCCCTGTGGAAGGCATGGGCATTCGAAGCCCCCTTTGCCCCTTACAAAGAGGGAAGAGCCTGGAAGGAACCTGGCACTCAGCCCCATGGACGCACTCACAATTTGGAGCTTAATGGTCCTCCCTTCCAACTCTATGGTTCGGATTTTGAAGTCCACACCAATGGTGCTGATGTAACTGTCCGTGTAGGTGTCGTCCTGGGGGTTTGGGGTGGGGAGGAGGAAGAGGAAGAGGAGGAGGAGAGAAGAAGAAAAAGAGTGGAAGACCAGGCATTGGGGGACCTGCAGCTCCCTCAGGGGAACGCCAAGATCCCCACCCCTCCAGCTTCCCCTTTCCTGAGAGGGTTGAGCCCAAGTTCAGTGCAGTGTCTTAGGGGAGCCCTCAGACACTCCAGTTGTGCCTGAAGCAGAGGGCTGGGGGTGCGGTGGGGTGGGGTGGGGTGGTGGGCTACCTTCCTTCCTTCCTTCCTTCCTTACCCTACACTGGACCCTATTGGCTTGGCCGATGGGTAGAGGTGGCCTTGGCACAGGCCAAGGAAAGGCCTGCTGCCACACCTGAGCAAGAGTGCTTGGCTGGGAGCCCCAGGAAAGCCATGTGGCCCACTTCCTTCTCTCCTTCAGGGGTGGGGGGGGTGGGAAGACGTGGGGACAGGTCAGGCACTACACCCCCCATCTGCTGCCTAGGGCCCTTCTCTCTCTCTCTCTCTCTGTCTGTCTGCTGGCGGTTGTGTGTGTGTGTGTGTGTGTCTGTCTCTGCTGAAGCATTTGAACCTGGCACAGTTGTGGGGACCTACCGCAAAACGGAGGAGGAGGCAAGACTTCCCGACCCCAGAATCACCAATCAGAAGCAGCTTAAATAGGTAGTCACTGTAAAGAGGAACACAGGGAACAACACCGGTGCGTTGGTTTGGAGAGGAGCCCTCTGGCTGGGCAGCCAGAGCCCTCGAAATGCCCCACTTGAAATGCCTTTGGGGCGGAGGGCCTGCCTGCCAGAACAGCCCGTTCGCATCTCCTGCCCTGCAGGAGCCCAAGGGGGAACCCCCTTCCCAAACAAAGGGTCTCTTTCCGTTCGCTCAGTACTCACTATTCAGGGCTGATGGTTGACATGCTGGCCGGTGCGCATGCAGAGGGCCAGGGCTCCAGTTGCTCTGAGTGGGCAGGAGGCGGCGGCAGCTGCAGCTCTCTGGCTTGGCTGAGTAAGAATAATTGTGCAAAGCTGTTTGTGGAAGGACCTTAACCCATTTTTAAAATATGCATTCACAGAGTGAGAGAAAATGAACTGTGGAAGTTCCAAAAGATGCAGGCAGTTGAGTGGGAGGTTTCTGTAACTGAAGTGTGGAAGTTCCTCCTTTTATTTATTTATTTTTTTGATTCAGCCCCTGATTCTCAGTTCTGATTGTGTCTGTCACAAGCATTAGATAACTCTTGCAAACGGAAATTAACGTATATGCTTTCGTCTGTGCTTCACACCTGTGATACCTGCCATGCCTGGGATCCGGTGTGTTGATGCACCTGCCACAATATGCTTTCTTCGGAATTTGCTGGCACAACTTGTCCTTCAGTGCCTTCCCTTCCTTTAAACTCTCTGTTTTTTTAAATGTGAGCTTCTGAAGCTCCTCCTGTCCATCTTTTTACAGCCTGCTTTCTTCATCTGATGGAAACGGGGGGTTTATTCCTGGCAACCTGTCTGTTGCCGAAAGGCACCTATCGGTAGTTTCCAAGGGCTGCTCCCGGCAACAGAGAGGTTGGTTTGCTAATGAGTTGGCTGCAGTGGTTTCCTGAAAGGATCCTTGCATTCTCTGGCAGGGATCCATTGTTACTCCCATCCCGGTTGCTCCATCACAGGACTCTCATTTCCAGAGAACCCTCCCTATGAAGAGGGGAAAATGTCGGGTCTAGTTTAGCTTAGACCCGAATAAAGCTGGGGCTGAACTGGCCTCTTTTAGCTGAAGCTGTCTAGTCTGTGTCTTCACCATGTTAGCTGCAGAGTTGCTCTTTCTTTAAGGTCATACAAACAGGCCTTGCTCACTAAAGCACTATTTGATGCTGACAAGCCCTAAATCCTCTACTTGGATTGGCTTGCAGTCTGAATCCACCAGCACATTCACCTATAGATGATGGGGGGCAGGGGGAAGGACTCTAGAACCTTTATGTCCAAGAGAGAAAACCTTCCCCCATTTTTATTTTTTACCAGGTACGAGGGAAGAGGCCACCTGTAGTAGATTTTCACTCATGCTAGGGATCTCCTCCAAACTTTTTGAGGGGGTTGTAACCCTGGCAGAGGAGTTTATCCTCCTAATGTTTAGGGAAGGCTGTAGTGGTGGCAACCAGGTCTCATTCACTGGATCTGCAGAAAGGTTTTTAATTCTGAAACCACTCCCTCCCAGATGTCTCTGAAAGCAAAGCAGCCTTTAAAAAAAATCATCTCTCAAAAGCAGGCAGGGTTCGAATCCATGCACACAGACACACACCTTCCTCCCTTAGCCCTCAGCATCGTTGGCTTTCTTTCTGTCTGCCAGCCGGTAGCTGTGCTACGCCCAGTAAAATGTCTCCCCAGTTCCTTCTGTAGGGTCTTCGGTGGGGTGGGGTGGGGGGTACCCGGCCCAGCTCGAGAGGCAGGACTCTCTCTCCCCTCTCACCCTCCCACCCTGCTTATTTCTCCTCCTGCTTTAGAGCAAGGGCTGCTGTTGCGGTGGTGACGATGTGCAGAAAGAGGGCCTTTTTATTTTGTTTGCTTGGTACCTTGGATCTGGCGTTTTCTCCGTCGGTCAAAGTGGGCTCAGTCCACCCCTGGAGGGAGAGGATCCGTCTGGCGGAGGCCGTGCCTTTTGAGTCCACTGGGAAGTGAGCGAGGGAGGCAGGCGGCAGTGGCAGTGGCTGCGGCGGCTGCTGCAGTCCCATGCAGGTGGGGCGGCAGGGTGGACCGTCCCCTAAGAGCTGCAGCCTGAAGGCCAGCCCTGCGCAGGTGGATCCCACAGCGCCATGGCTGGCCAGTCAGTGCCGCCTCCGAGGGGAGAGACAAAGAAGCAGACGCCACCCTGTCCCCCACCCACACCCCTGCACCCTGGTTTTCCAGTACCGCTTGGTCTCGTGCCCCCCCCCGCCTTCCTTCTGCTGCCTTCCTGTCTTTCAATAAAGATGCAGGGTGGGGGGCTCCCCCATTGGCCAGCTGTCTGGGATGACATCATCTGGTGATGCAGAGGATTGGTCGGGAGGAGGGAGGCACAGCCTGCTGGTATCTTTAATGCCCAGGGAGGGGTGGGGCGGATGGCTCTGCACCCCCACCTCCTTGTGCCTGCTTAGGGGTGGCTTTACATCACTTTGGAAGTTTGCACATGGAAGCTGGAATTGATGGGCCGACAGATGGCAAACCTGGGACTTGGGACCTTGTCCAGGTTGTTCGCGTCCTGTTCATATCCCTCTAGGCCTGTGTTGCCTCTCGGTTGAAAAGGGTGCTGCTTCTCTGCAGTGTCACTTGCCCTTGCCGTCCAGATGTTCCCTTGACCGCTGCCCAGGCATCACAGATCTGTTTCCCAAGCAGGGTTTTCCTGCTAGCACTCGGCTTGCTAGCATCTAAGAGCAAAACAGGGAGAGGGGGTGAACGTTTGCTAATGGGGTCATCAAAAATTCATCGTTGGGTGCTTTGCTTTCCAGATAGGCTGGAGCCGCTCAGCGGGAGATGGGTTTTGGCATCCAGACAGGACGGAGGCTGGGGATTCTGTCTGGAATCTTCCGTGTGCTTCTCCCAAGGGAGGGTCTGCACCTGCAAAGCTTCGTGACTGTGAGGGATCCCCAGGGTCCCCACAAAAGGCTTGTTGAGCCCACTGTTCACCCCACAGGGCCCGTTAAAATATTTTAACAGCTGTATTTTAATGTGAGCTTTCGTGGTCTAAAGAAAAGCTGGCATTAAAATACAGTGGCCTGTCTTTAAGGTGCCACGTTTTGGTCTTTTTGATTTTTCTTTTGGTTTTGGGTAATGTTGTTGTCCAAGAGGGGAAGGGGAGATGGCCATGGGTGGACCCTGGGGTACGTTGCCTCTCTCCTCAGGCTATCAAGGGCTTTTCCAAACAGGCTGTTGTCGTATACCTCTGTCACACCTTACTTATTTTATTTTATTTATTCATGTAAAATATTTTACCCCGCCTTTCACCTTAAAAAGGACCCAAGGCAGTTTACATCATTAAAAAAACAACATTTGAAGCTAAAACATTAAGTATACAAATACTAAAAAAAAATAAAACAAAGGCCTCTTAAGAAACCATAAACAAAAGCAAGGCCAAAACCACATTCAAAGCAGTAAGTTTAAACAATCCCTTTTTAAAAAATCCACTTGGGTAGTCAGTCATTAAGGGAAAGATTGTCTGAAGAGAAAGGCCTTTGCCTGCTTGCAGAAGGACAGCCAAGAGGGAGCCATCCTGGCTTCCATTGGGAGCGAGTTCCAAAGGATGTGAGCAACAGCAGAGAAGACCCTCTCCTGGGTCCCCACCGAGCATGCCTGTGAAGGGGGTGGGACAGAGAAAGGCGTTTTTAAGATTTGATCCATAATACTCCTTGAAAATCTCGGAATTAAGACTTCTTCTGTGCAGCGTAAGTGGAAAAGGAACAAGCCCTTCTTGTTCTCTGACCCCCCCTTAAAGAAAAAGAAAAAGAAAGAACTGGCTGGATGTGCTCAGCTTCTCAGAAAATTAAGCAAAAGGTAAATCCATTTCTAACACAAATGCTGCTATATAGAGCTAACAAGTTCTGGCTGAAGATCGGCTGAGGCATTGGAGGCACTTCGGGGGGGGGCACCCATTGGCAAAATAAGGCTAGACCAGCCCCTTCCCATCTTCATGGAGGGGTCTTGATTCGGTGGAGGCTTCGCGTCTCTTTGGGACCTGATCGGATCCCCTGCACTTTTGCCCTGGCTGCCTTCTGCTGCCTTCAGCCTGGAAGCAGGCGGCCCATTCTCCCAAGGGAGGGGAGAGAATCATTTCAGGATCCGGAGACTCATCTTCTGTTCAATGTTCAGCTTTTCCACAGACTGCAAATCGAATCAGAGAAGAATGGGTTACAAAAAACTTTCTAGGTTTCAGCCTGAGAGCTGATTTTCGGGACCGGGACTTGAATGCTGGAGAAAACTATGGAATGGAGGAAAACCGAGAGGTACAGCAGCGGTGCTGGTGCTGCCCCTCCCCCCCCGGGAACCCAGAGCCTGCCCTGCCACCAGGTGAGGAGCCGCCCTGTCATCGCCTACAGCGTGCTCCCGTCAGGGCGGAAGGAGCTGCCGTCTGGAAAAGGGAGAAGGAGCCGAGCAGCCTCCCCGCAGGAGAGGCTGGGTGGCTTCTGCTCATTCTGTGTTGTGCATGGAGTTCCTGGAACTAAGTCTAGACGCCCCACAGATTCTTCCCCCCCCCCCAATCTTTGCAGCCTCATGATCCAGTCCGTAGCCCTCCAGACCTTTGCAAACTCCTCGAAGGAGAGGGCTCCGTCTCCATCCTTATCGGCCTCTTGGATGGTCCGGTCTGTGATGCTCTCAAGATGTTCGTCCGTCACCTGGATCCCAACCATCATTCTTAACACCTGGGGTGGAGGGACAAGAACAGTGGGGAGTGGGGTGGGGGTGCAGAGAAAGGGAAAGGAGCCCCCTTCCCTCTCTTCAGTCACCCCTCTCTCTGGGAAGGCCAGCTTTCATGGCAGGGAGACTCTAAGCAAGGGCTTTGAAGCCTGGCAGGAGCGGATGGAAGAGGGGAGTGCTCCTGAGTATATGCAGAGCTCATGGTTTTCACCCTTTGAAAAACGATTGACAAAGTGGGAGCAGAACATCCCTGCTGAGGACGTGAGCCTTGCTGTCGGCCCTTTGCTCAGGAGCTCCCCCCTCCCTCCAGTCGCTGGTACTTGTTTCTCTTCCCCCCCTCCTTGAGTCAGTTGGACACCCAGTAATCACCTCCAACAATTCAGCTCTCGAGATCTTCCCGTCTTTGTCTTGATCGTAGAGCTGGAAAGCAACTTCATGGGAACCAGAAGGACAGGGTGGTTAGTAGCAGGGAAGGAGACTGAAGGGCATTTATCGGGGGCCCTCCCCTCCCCACAGATACCCATTTCTTGTAAGGAAGGGTGATGCTCAGGTTGTGCGGATGGTGCTGTGCTCCACTTGTCATGTGGCATAGGGTGGACTGCGCAGTTCCACCTCCTGGGCCTCTTGGCTTTTTTGGGGTGGGGTAGGGTGAGGTGGGGGGGGGACAAATGAAACAGAGCAGGTTTGCAGCCTCTAACGACTCAAGGCACGCACTCACACTTCAGTTTGCTAAGCCGGCTGTTTACATCCTCGGCGCCTCCAGGCCCTTCCGCTGGCCGGAAGTGGGCCAGCACGTTCACAAAAGTTCGGAAGTCGGCGGTCTCTCTCCTAGGGAGGAAAAGGCCCTCCAGAGTTAACAGCCTTCCTTCCCTTGGGCATTCGATGGATGGATGGATGGATGGATGGATGGATGGATGGATGGATGGATGGATGGATGGATGGATGGATGGGAGCTTCTTAACCTGGGGTTTGCCAAGGGGCTGTCGAAGGCCACAGGCCACCCAGGGCTGCTCAGTCTTCCCTTCCTGTTCCTCCACATCTCCATTTCTTCAGCTGCGGGCAAGACCCAGGAGCCTGCTGGTGTATCTCTGTTCCCTGCCCCCCCTCCTTTGGGTCAGCTCTGAAGTTTCTCTAAAAGTGCCTTGCGTTTCTTCCCAACTAAGTATTGGGAGAGCATCAGGCAAGCTGTCCTGGATCAGACCTGAGGGCTCCCTCGTCCTGCCTGCCATTCTCACAGGGGCCAGCCCGTTGCCCCTGATAGCCTCTCCCCCAGGAACAGAACAGCACCCTCACCCTCACCTTCTCCAGCAACTGACAAGCAGCAGGTCACCCAGGGGGGCACCCATAGCTGTCCTGATCCTCACTCTCCAGGCTGCTGGCTAGCTTTTGGTGGCCTTGAAGGCCCCCAGGACACCTTGTCCCTCAAGTCACCCCACAGCACCGCCTGGCCGGCCTGGAAGGAGGCGCCTGCTTGCAAGCCTGATCCTTCAGCCAGCAGCTGATGCTGAATGGCCTGCCTGTGCTCCTAATGTCTCCTTCCTTTTCTGTTTCCTGGGGCGGGGGAAAAGGGGGCAGCGTTTCCTTCGTCTTGTCAGGCTGCTCTTGTGTGTATGCCTTGTTCTTTCATACGCACCCATCTTGGAAGAAGGCACTGATGATCCGGTCTCCAATAGGATTAATTGCAAGCTTTCCAATCCCTTCAAGATCACTTTTGCTGCACAGACAGACACACACACAGAGATAAAGCAAGTAAGCACACATATAGTTTTAAGAGCATGTAGGTAGGCAGTGTAGCAGTTTAAGCAAATGACCATAAGCCTTCAATTAAGGGTTTAGAAATGCGTCTGATTTTCTGCTTGCAGGGGCCATCCAAAGGGTGTGATGGCAAAAGGAAGGAGGGAAGAAGTGGGCCGTAAGCGGAGACATGATCAAAATGTCGGCCGTGGCTGGTCCTTGCAGCAGTAAAGATGTTAGGAAAGTGTGAAGGCAAGAGGAGAAGGGGACGACAGAGGACGAGAGGGTTGGACAGTGTCACCAAAGCGACCAACATGAATTTGATCCAACTCTGGGAGGCAGTGGAAGACAGGAGGGCCTGGCCTGCTCTGGTCCGTGGGGGTCACGAAGAGTCGGACATGATTTAATGACTAAACAACAACAGTCTGCAGGCGTCTTCTAGGTTGTCTAATCTAAATCAATGTCCTTCCTGTTTTAAAAGATTAGATTTGTCGACAGTCGATTGCTTGAGTTTCTTCTGGGAGGTTTCAAAGCATTTAAGAAGTGGGATATTTTGCACTGGTGCTGGTGCTGGTTCCGAATGCAGCCTGCTAAGGCACCCATCCGTGTTGGGCCGTCAGCACGGTGCTCTGCTGTGCTGCAGGAGGCCCCACGTCTCCAGCTGTGAATGGCCTCTTGGCTCCTTTCCAGCCTTCTCATCGTGGCCCATACTTTCTCTTCCTTCCGCTCACCTGAGGTAGCCCTTCTCCTCCTTGTCCAGGACCAGGAAACGCTGGTAAAGGCGCTCCACGTTGGCCTGGGAGACTAGGGAAAATGGGAAAACAGGCCTTTAATGATTACCCAAAGAAAATAAATCCAGCCGAGGGCGTTATGACCTTGGCAGGAATGTAGTAAAAAATCAGCAGCAGTTAACATTCTCTTGAAGCGTTTGTTCCCTGGAGGGTGGTGGCAGTGGCGGCGGCCAGGCTTGGGCAAGCCTTCTCGGAAGGCCTGCGTCCCTCTCGTCCTGGGTTCTTGGTGCCCTGCCTGTCAGCCCGCAGGCCGGTGGCTGGGAAGAGGCTGGGGGGGGGGCCTCCGACTTTGGCCCTTGAGGCAGCCCTGCCGGCAGCTGCCCCCTGTGCCCAGGAGCAGGTGGGGACTCCGCTCAGAGCAAGGCCATGGCTGTCCGCCAGGCTTAGCAAGAGACACCCTGTCTCTCTGGCCCCAGAACCTATCATCCTCTCAACCTTTTCCCTTGTGTTCTGCTCCCACCGGAGGCTGGGCATCGCCCCCTCGACTTGCTTTGTGTGTGAATGTGTGTTGGGGGTGTGTGACTTTCACAACAAGGCCTCCAGCTCCTCAGTCACAGAGTCCTTCATCCCTTTCTGCCGTTCTTTTCCCATTGATTTTACCTTGAATGATCAGCTGTAGAAATCTTTTTGTTTTTTATCATGTAGCTGAAGTATTCTAGCCTCCTGCTTTTTATGTCTTTTATGATTTCTTATTCTTTATTTATTCAATTGAATGTTTGCTGGCTACCTTCTCCATCCAAGAAATTCTTAGTGTTTTGCAGAATTGGTTTATTCTGTATAAATTAGCCCAGCTGCCATATACTGTAATTGGCGTAGTTTTGCATACTTTTTACACGGCACACATAAACCTAGTTCTTTCTAGGAAGAGAACCCATTCCTTAGAAATTGAACGTGGGTTGCTTGTGTAGCTCACTCATGCCTCCTTACCCTGAAGAAAAGGAAGAAATGAAACACGGGTCCACACAGTCCACTGGTCCTCTTATTAGGAAAAGTGGCGGGTCCGGTGAGAATCAAGGGAGGGAGGGACGCACCTTGTTTTCTTTTTCTGCTTTGGTTTCATTCCCCAAGCAGCTGCTCCAGCCCTCCCTCCTTCCCCAGAGAAGGGGCCATCCATACCTCCCTGTGAAGGAAAGATCTGCATCTCTGCAGCTTCCCTTTCCTCCCATTCTGGCTCGGACAGATAGCAGGAGGCAGCCAGAGGCTGCCAGAGGAAGCCCTGGGCGTTGGGTGGAGTCCCTGCGTTCTGCTCAGTTGCAGCCTTTCCTCTTTAGATTAAAACGGGTGGTGAAAGACAGCACAGAGAGGGAATCGGGCTGTCTTGGTGGGTAAGGCATCTCCTGCTCTCCTGGAAGCCAAGGGTCTCAGGCACAAAGCCCTCTCCCAGCTGGGGGAAACTCCCGGTCTCTTCACCTTCGGAGCTACCTCTCCATCGTGGGTCCCTTCCCTGGAGCCTAACTTCCCTTCCTGACATTGAGGGGAAAGCCTGTGCCCCTAGTCTAGACTCTTCCTGCACGCCATCTGCTCCTCTTCTGCCAAAGCTAGAGGTGGGCACCAGGTGCCCCACATGAGAGGGGCTGCCACGGGCAAAGGCCACACACTTGGGTCCTCTCCTTGCTCTGGGTGGAACCCCTGGACGTTCAGCCCTGGATGATGGCTTGGACCTATAGCTTGGGACCTCTCTCTCTTTTTTTAAAACCTCCCTCCCCCCAGGGGATTCCCTGTGTGATCTAGTGGACAGGGTGATGGNGGAAGCCAAGACTCCTGCAACACAGGCGCCTTCCACCGGAGACCCAGTTCCTTGCCCTGTTGCTCAGCTATAAACTTCTTTCCCCGGGTGGGGTGTGTGTGTGTGTGTCAGGATCCCCTGTTGCCCTGTGGTGGCCTGACAGTGAGGGACAGGATCCCCCCTCCTGATTCTGGGACCCTGAAAGTTTCCATCTGAGCCAAGAAAGCCAAGACTCCTGCAACACAGGCGCCTTCCACCGGAGACCCAGTTCCTTGCCCTGTTGCTCAGCTATAAACTTCTTTCCCCGGGTGGGGTGTGTGTGTGTGTGTCAGGATCCCCTGTTGCCCTGTGGTGGCCTGACAGTGAGGGACAGGATCCCCCCTCCTGATTCTGGGACCCTGAAAGTTTCCATCTGAGCCAAGAGGGGCCGTGGGCTTGGTGCTCCCCCCCAAGCACCCAATTTGCTACCCACCTCCCCAGCCTCCTGCTAAGCCCTCTGTGTCACCCAGCTGCCTAACTGCATGCATACGGAAAGGAAAGGAAACCGTTCTCCGCAGTTTGCCTTACAGCCAGTTTCTGCCATGATTTCATCCTGCTCAGGAACAGAGAAGGGCCGGGAGTTTAGGGCTCCCATCCTGAAGGGCCCTGTCCCACTCCAGGGCAGCCGAAGCTATTTGCAGGGTGCCTGTGTGCCCGAGCGAGCGAGCGAGTGAGCGAGTGAAGGAATATCAGAGCAGGGAGCGCCTCCCAACTTCGGAGCGCTCTCCTCCCCGCTCGGTGGTAAAAGCCAGGCGGATGATCAGCTGCTGGAGAGGAGGGGCTTGGCTGAGGCCGGGCAGGGTTCGCTTAAGGTGGAAGCCCCAAAGGGGAAAAGCCTGGCTCAGCAGCGGTGGGTGGGCGAGCCTTCGGGTGACACAGAGGTCTCCTTGCACCCAGGGTAGAGCTGGGGGGGAATAGACTTGTGGGTGTTGCCTTTGCAGAGTCCTGGGAACCTCGGGGGTGGGGGGTGGGAGTGGTGGTCAAAATGCATACACAGCCCATGCAGCCCCCATTTCAAAACATCTGCCCTGGCCTGTTTCTGAGGCGTTCCTTGGGCCACTCACAGTCACAATGGCCTGGCCACTAGGTCCTTGAGTGTCCTCCCCCCAATTTTCTCTGGAAGTACAGTAGTCACTTCTGAAGAGCAGGCAGGATTAAGGTAGCCCTCAGCACCCTCAGGGAGCCCCAAGAGTCCTGGTCAACAGGCCAGGTCTCATTAGTAAAACCTAAGGGGGCTTCACTGCCCATCCCAGACCAGGCCAGGAGGAGCCCCCAGCAAGGCTTTGGCTTGTGGCCCGTGGCTGAGGAGCCAGGGCTGGCGAGCGTGGTTCGACATGCGGCTCCTCNNNNCCCCCCCCCCGATGGCTCGAGCCACAGTCCCTGCTCTCTTCCGTGGGGCTGCCTCCGGCGTGCGTGGCTCCTGCCTGCAGGTCACTCACCAGACCCCGCCTGGAACGCTGAGCCGGCAGAGCTCTGAGGGTCCACGTTTGCCCACTGGAAGAGCAGTTGTTTGTCCTCCGTTAACTGTGAGGAGGGCAGCTAAGCTCGGAGGGAACGGAGAAGCAGCTGTGAGGTGGGCAGCTGATCTTGTCACCATCCTTGCCAAGACCGGGACTTCCCAGCAGCAGGATTAGACCTGGAATTGTGAGGCCCTTCAGAGTCACATACGGTGCACGGGTGTTTTCCGTGATCAGACCACGTTCATTCAATAAGAAAGGAGTTTGGTGAGAGGTAAGGTGCAGGTTTGGAGAGCTGACCGCATTTCTTCCTGCCAGGGTCCAGTGATGATGACAGGCGTGTGGGACTCATGAGGTGGTAACATGTGCTTGTGCGGCTGAGCCCTCCGTGCATGTCTTCCATGCCATCCAGCTCATGACTTCTGGAGGACATCCAAAGCCTGCCGCCTCGTCTTATTTTTAAAAAGGCAGCTGTCTATGTATGAACTCAAGTGTTGGAAAAGGCTGATGTTTTTCCACCTTGAGTTGTTAGCTTTGTGCGTAGTGTAGTTTTGTTTGTTGCGTGAGTAATTATGTTGCTGTTCTTTGTGTTTGTGGAAGCAACACATTTGATTAATGTGGCTGTAAAATGAATTAACACATGGGAAACGCTTGATGTCCCTGTAATGGGCATTGCTCATTTTTGCAGCTGTTCTAGCCACTTCTCTTCACTTTTTCATGAGTCAGGCACTTAATTACCTCCACAATTGCTTTTGTTCTTGCACCATCCATCTCTTGTCAGGCGGTGTTAACAACTGCGGAAAGGTGCAGGATCTGTCCAAGGCCCAAACAGCTGCCCTGGCGGGAGGGAGTCAGCACCTTCCACACTTCCCTGGTCTGTCTTACTCTGTTCATTCAAGGGAAGCTGGTGGTCAGAGGAGGGGGAAGGAGAGACCTGGGAAAGGAGCAGAAAGGCCCTTCACCTTCCAGGAGCTCTCTGCAGAGGGAGGCCTGTTGGGGGAGCAGAGCCAGTGTCCTCCCTGCAAGGAAGAGAGCTTGCCGCCACCGCTATAATTGTGAACAAACCTTAGGAGAGAGAGCCTCCACTCAGTCTGTTGGTGGAGCGAGAAGCCAGTTGTGACAGGGGACGATGCAGCAGGCAGAGGATTCAAGCAAAAACACAGGAAAGAATTCTGCAGCCCTTTGAGGTGCAAGGAGTGGAGAACCCGCTCCACTTTCTTCTGGAAGGCACTTTCAAAGTCACTTTCAGACCCCCCCCCCCGTCCTAGAGAGTTTTCAGAAATGGGGGCAAGGGGATGCAGGACCATCCAGTGGTGTGTGTGTGTGTGTTGAATCTTAAACCCCTTCTGCCATTTCAACTGGGATGGCTCAGGCAGACAGCATGGGCACCTGGCATTTTGTTGTGCCCAGAAATGTTCATCTAAAGCGGCTCCCCCCCCCCGCCGAATGGTGTTGTGTGGCTTTCTGGGGTGGCGGTATTTTTAGAGATGCTTCCCTGAAGCAGGTGTTCCCTGGTTACATTTCTGTAGTTGTGGCTCTCCAAAGCATGCCCTGGGGTGGGGTGGGGGCGTGAAACCCCATCCCTCCAATAAATTACATGAGGAACCAGCTCCCTGCCCCCACCCTCTGCACTGGGGAGAGAGGGGGCTACAAAGGCCATCCTTAGGGGTCTGGATCCAACTGGCTTGGCTTCCCCGCCTTACAGTCTGTTTGTCAGCATGAAGCGGAAGAAGGGTGCCAGAGATGACATCGGACAACCTTAGTTTCATGAGCAAAATAGATATTTTATATAACTTTCTTCTGAGAGAAAGGACCATACATAAAAGGAAAAAAAGTTATAGAGGGTGGGGAAGATATAAAAAGACATGGCACTTATAAATATACAATTATATACAACTTAAATATATGTATAAAGTTATCTCCAGATCTCTTGCTTTTTTAAATTAATAAAGGGAGCAAAAAGCACTGGGGGGGGGAGAGAGAGGAACAAGTTTAAACGTAACAAGGACCTCCAACCGTTCCATAAGGCTTCTTGTGGACTGCACGATTCAGGATCTGAGGCAGAAAGTGTTGGTTGTTGTTTTCACAAGCAAAAGTAAACATCCTCGGGATAGGACTTGGTTGTTATTGTTTGCATTTAGAGTTGTAAAAGCATTTCTTCTTTGTGTTGAAAAATACTCACCAGTACTTAAAACAAAAAGTTCTGCTTTCCTGTAACAGAAATTTCTCATTGCAACGATTGTTACATAAACATAATCCACCAGGACGTGCTGTGTTCTGCGGTTAAAATAATCATCATTTTTGACTGAGAGAAGAGTCCCGGGGCGGCCCTTGCGTGGGCTGCCCTTCTTTGGGACCGGCCTGAGCCTCATCCCTTCCGCTCGCCAGCCTGGAGCCGTGCTGGGATTCCCTCCAAGGGCATCAGGGCCGTTTCACCCCAGGATGGCTTTCTGAGACCTTCACTGCCAAGCCACACTGGGGAGCTCTGGCTGTCGGCATGGCTCAGTAAGACCACCTTTGCCCCTCTGTTTGCCCATCTTCACCTGGCCTCCCCCCAGGCAGTGGGAAAGGGGCACAACAGCAGCCTGTGGAGCAGCTTTTTTGTGCTGATCAGTGCATGATGGGAGCCGTTTGCAAAGACCATGCACGCTGGCCTTTCTACAGGAGATGAAGGAGGCACATGCCAGCTTTATAGCGGCAGGCAGCATCCTCTCCTCCTTCACCTTAAAAGGTGAGTGTGTTGTGGTGAGGTTATCCTTCACCCCTAAAATTTCCTCTGGTTGTCTCTTCCTTGCCAGATCTTGGCCTGGAGGAGGCGCACTGTTTAGTTTTAATGAAAACTTGCCACAACGGGGAATTTTAAAACCTAGTAAGCTGTGACATCTGCCTTTGAGAGGGACTGATTTTCTACACCTGTCCAGTGGGTGAACAGAGGCAGAACTTTCCTCTTGCAGACTGTGAGGGGGAAAATTAAGTCAGATGGGGAGAAGCCCCCCCCCCAAAGCATCAGCGGATGTTTTGAAAAACATGCAAAAACAACCGATCCTGACAATTAGGTAAGGAAAAGGACCTGCCTTTTCTACAGAACAGACCACCCCTGGCGCAGCCTCTCAGATCGCCTCTTTCCCAAGTCCCAAACTATCCTTCCTCCTTTCGCTCAGATAAACTTTTCCAAACCAAGTTCCAGTTCCCTGTTTCATATCTTTGAGTCAGTTCCATTCCTAGGATCTGTGAGTCTGTTGCTTTCAATGCAAAAATAAAATTATAGCAGCAAGAATAAATATTAAATAGTTTCCTATAAAAAGGAGTCTTTTTAAAATACTATATGGATCAAAAAATTAATAAAGGTGAGACCTTGGCTGCTCCAGGAGTCTATTCAGTGTGCTCTGTAAACATCCCTTGAGCTGAGAATTTGGAAGAAAAATTAAATAAAACACAGGTGTCAGATTCCGGGACTTGGGGAGTAGGAGCTTCTTCAGACCTAGAAATGAAGATGAAAGAGGGCAGGGCAAAATTAGAAGAGCACCACAGAACGACAAAATTGGACCTTCTTGCCTGCCCACCCCCCACCCCCACTCATTTTCCAAAGATGAACTTCTTACGAGAGCTTTTCCAGAGACGGAATAAGCCTTGCCCAGTCGAGATTAAGCCTTGGGTCAGGTCAAGCTGCTGAGGAGGGTGTCTGCAGCCAAATGGCCCTTCCGGCTGCAGTCAGGTTTCCGGAAGTTTCTTGCACCTCATATCACAAAACACCTTTTCACCCAAAAGATGGAGGCTGTTCCCTCTGGCGAGGGAAGGGGCAGTGGCTGCAGTGGCAAGAAGAGGTGGGCAACTCAGTCCTGACATAAAAGGGGGGGGGAGCTTTGCACCATGTTCTGGACACGACCATCTCAGCCTGACAATTGTGCACAATTTGGATTCCTGTGTACCTATTCTTAATGGCAGATACGCAAACACTGTGATTTTCACATTCTCCTTCCGCGTGTCAGAAAAGAATGGGTCGGACGCTGGCTTTGAAAGCCAGGACAGAGGCGGCTTCCCTTTTCCTATCTGCCTCTGTAATGAACCTGCACATTTTTGCTGGGTGACCCTGACTAACACGGGGTCGCTCTGGGGAAGGGGTTCTGGAGGCCTTCATCTTACTCATACAGCGTGTACTCTGAGCACAATGTTCTCCGTTCTCCCTTCAGTCCACAGCTGTAGATGTTATGCTAATGCTACAGTGCTGGGAAGGAGCCAATGGTCCAGGCCAAGGTCCAAAGAGGGAGAGCCTACCTAGAAGACTCGGCTGTCCAGCAAACAAACAAACAAGTTGGAAAGGGAGGTGGTTCCGTCCCGGCCCCTGGAGAGGGCAATCTCCATTAGGGACAGGAACCTATGTCTACTCACCTGGGAAATGTCCCCCTCAGCTCCTCTCAGGGGCCACAACAAAAGACGGGATCCTACTCTTTTGAGGCCTGCCCGGAGGAAAGGCAGCCTCGCCTCGCTCAGAGTGACTGGAGACTGCCTCTTCAAACAGCGCAGCCCTTCCTGCAAGGGCCCCGGAAGGGCTCTCCCAGAGACGCAGCCATGCTGTTGTGTTAATCATGCATTCTTGATTAAAACCTCAGTGGCAGCCCTTGTACAGAGAGACTCTTGCCCTTGCATAGGATCCCCGGGGATCTCTCCTGGATCAGGAGCTTCTGTCCAAGGAACAGGTAAACCGCTTTCCATCCAAGAGGCACTGTGGGAGGTGGGCATGGTGTCCAGAGAGCAGCCCACAAGTCTGAGGACAGGTTAAAACCTTAATGCCAGGGTCTGCCTTAATTTAACTCTCCCCCTTGTTTTGTGCATGGGTTGGTTAGTGGCACCAAGGAGAGCTGGAGAAAGCCCTGTGACAGGTGAAACCCATGCCCTGTGGACCATTCTTCAGGTGGTCGAAGATGCTGCTCCAGACGATGGCTCAAACCAGAGCAAACCCTCACTGGGGTCACTTTGGCTTTTTTCATTCACCAGACGACTATTTCGCCTTTGAAATCAGTCAGTAGCGCATCTCCAAAGATAAGAACTGGAAACTAAACCAAAGCCATTTACATGTTGCATCTGTGGCAGCCGGTCAGTCACCTGCCCCCTGCTTGGGAGCACCGGAAGATCTCCTGCTTGTGACATTCGACATTGCCGTCCCATCTCTCTCTCTCTCTCTCTCTCTCTCTCTTTCTGTGTGTTTGGTTTACAACTTGCTAAACTGCCAGGCTGTATCAGAACTTTGGTTTGGCTGGAAGTCACAGGCAGCTTCGTTCTTTCCTTTCTTCTGCATTATCCCGTTGACTTCTCAGGGTGGTCTCCTCCCGGGATGATATAAGATTTCCTCTTTGTTAGATTTGCCTAGAGATTTATCAGTATGTGGCTGAAATGCTGTGCAACAGGGACCGCCACAACCACATGCCGGCTTCTCTACCCAAAGGTGTGGAAACGCCTCTCCTTCCTTCCCAAGCGGCAAGAGATGGGTCACTGCCCGCGGGCAGGTTCCAGCCTTCATCCCCCTTTTGTCCAGTCCTTGGAGGCGACACGCCTCTTTTAATTTAAGCCGATGGATCCCAGAGGGCCAAGAGAGCCCTGTTGCATTTGACCCCTGTGGGGGGTCCCAGAGGCTCAACACCTCCTTTAATATTCAGTCCGGAAGGCCTCTGTTGCACTTCCCTGCTGACTGGCCAGGAGGTCTCCACTCAGCCAAAGATGAATCCAGTCCTCTCGGACTTGGCCCCTCCTGAACTCCTCTCTGGGAGGGACGGAGGAGGCCTTGAAAAGGAGAGCATTCTTAGGCCATTCTTCGTCCTCTTTAGTACACCTAGCCTTCCCTTTGGAAGATTCCCATGATTGGAGGGGGCAGGATTTAGGGCCTGCTTTACCCCTCAAGTGCCGGGGAGTGCCTCTTCCCACAAGAGCCGAAGTCCGTGAGCAGCCGTTGTGTTAGACCCTCACGGAGAAAGAGGAGTCTGACTTAAGGCAGGACCGTGTCGCAGAAGCAGGGGCCGTGAAAGGCTTTGGGCACATCCAGGGCTGAGCCCTTGAACGTCGCCTCCGTCTGTCTGTCGGTGGCTGGCTTGTTCCCAGACCAGCAGCCTCCAACTGCAGTCTGAGGAAGGGAAGGAGAGTGACTGACTGATGAGAACCACCAGGGCCTTGGCAGGTTGCCTTGCCCTCTGGAGCCTGGAGAGGCGCTGGGCTGGGATCAGGGCTGCGGGCAAGGGGTGAGGAAGGCAGCCGTGGGTTTCTGGCATTGTGCTGCCTCCAGGCGGACCGTCAACGGGAGGCTGGCTCTGGAGGAAGGGGGAGCCCCTGGAGCCAGCAAAGAGGACGCATCTGCCCTGCTTGGGAGAGGCCGCGCAGCGTTCCCAGAGGCAGTCTCCAGTCAGCCTAGCGTGGCCGGCCGGCCTGCCTGCCTTCTGCGGGCTGGAGAGGAGCCTTCCGCATCGTTTGGAGTGGCGCCTGAGCTGAGCAGGACAGGAGGGCATTTGACTTACCGTGGAGGTTTCTTGGCAGCAGGTGGTGGAGGGTGACTTGGAGCAGGCTGTTCATGCCACTTGCTCGGGCAGACAGGCAGGGCCATGTAAATCAGCAAACGTGACCCCTTTGACCAGGAGGAGAACACCCCCTCCCTAACCTGGGATAGAATGAAGCCAGCACCAACTGTTCCTCTACAAGGGGAACAAATCTTCAAAAAGTGAACGTCAGCACGGAAACTCAGAGGAAGCTGCACAAAGGAGGAGGGCGAACTGGGGCACATCCTCCGGCATCCTCTGGCACCACCCTAAAAACCCGAGGCCCCAAAGTCCAGCCGTCCAGAGGGCTCCCTTCTAGCCGTGGCCTTAGCCCACATGTGGCCACAGGATATCCTCGTCCCTCGAGGAAAGGGCACCTGCACACCAAGCCCAGGGTCCCTTTCCCTGTTGGGGAGGAGAGTATTCTGGGCAGGGGTGTGTGTGTGTATGTGTGTGTGTGAGTCTTGCCCTCGCCCTCCCTCCACATTGGAGAAGGGTGACGTGGCTGGGGTTGCTGCCAGCATCAGGAGAAGCGAGCCCAGCTGGCCGGGGCACCTCCTCAGGGAAGCCGAGGAAGCCCAGGCGGCAGCCGGACAGTCTCCTCCCAAGGCTGCCAAAGCAGCCGCACATCCTTCGAGAACGGGCTGCAATGCTGGGAGGAACAGGACCCTTCTGTCACGCCTACAAGACTGTGACCTACAGAAGGGAAGGGAAGAAAAAAAGGAGACCTCCACAGAGAGACGGGGAAAGAGGAGCGACGTGGAAAAAACCCACAGTATGGAATCTTAATCCTAGCGGTTCTTAAACACCAGATGTGTAAACAACATTATTCATTGAGCGCAAAGTGCAGTAGTAACAAGGTCACTGTACTATGTGAATTTACAGACCCAAAGAAACAAACAAGCCACTATTTCAAAGCACCTGAAGTTTCTTAAGAATTTTCAGCCATTTGTATCATCTCTGTGTTGAATTTAGGGGAACCCTACTTTGCACAATCAATTCACAGGATAATTTAGGCGGTCTTAATAACCTCCAGATGTGTCAGACAAAAGGCCCAGAATCCTCTCTTCTTTACCGTCGCTGCTGATCGTGGAGGCCGCAATACTGTGTCTCAGACATAACCCTTGAAAGGGAAACCAGCACCTCCTAGTGGGAAACGGAAAGGATTCCTGGCTACGTGCTTTTTTTGGGAGCACTGGCTGAGTTAACTCGTACGTACAAGAGCTAAGGCAAACTCAGAGGACACCTGAAAGAAAGCAGTCCAAGGGAACTGTCCACACAGGGACAAACACAGCACTTGTGACAGCGGCCATGCTGGGGCTGAAGATTCCAGGGCGAGAATGGAGAGAGGGCCAAAGGTTCTTGGAGTAGCGACCCTTTGCCCCAGCTTCCCTCTGAGAGGGAGAAGCAGCTCCCTTTTCCTGGACTAGAGGGAAAGCATGACCGCAAGGTCTTGTGGGTCAGAGCAGAGAGTGGGTTTACATCTGGAACCAGGGAGGATTTGATGCTATCAGGCTACTTCAGGCAGCCTACGGTCTAGGTCCGTCAAAGGAGTCTTGATTGCAGGGGTTGACGCATGCCGAGAAGGTGCCTAGGCAGGTGGAATCAGTCCAAAAAGCAGCTTCCTGGCCTGGTGGGGATGACCTCTCTCCGTTCTGCCCTTTCAGAGGACTTCCATTGAGGTCAAAGTTGGTGAAAACAGAGATGTCAACTCAGGCTAGGGACGGATCCAGCTGTGTGCGTGCTCTTCCTTTGTGATGTGAAGCTGCTGTCTTGGTTTCTTGGTTTAACTGGGCCCGGAGAGAAGGGCAAACCTCAAGTCCGCTGCTCGGAATATCCCTGAGAGGCCCTTCCCCGAGATCCTTGTCTTGATGTCTCGGCTTGCCTGCCTCGGTGGCTCTGAGGACTCGGTGGTTCTGTTTACCAGTGTGCTGAATAAGACAGATGCATCCCCACAGCTGATGGGAAAGCAACACAAACTTGCTGCCGTGCCTTTGGAGAAGTCTTGGTGGTCACGTCTGCTTGTATCGTCATACCCATGGCTTGGAGGTGAAGCTGGAGTGGTTTCAGGGTAAGTATACCTCCAGCGATTCGAGCCAGCCGGCTCCTCCGGCATCCACACCTGCACACAGTAGCCCTTTCTCGGAGGCTGACATGTGATGCCACGCCACCAGAAGCCGGGAAGTCCTTTGAAAGAGGTTCCTCTTGTCAGACTGACCAAAGATGAGAGGGTCCTCGGGGTGTGTGTGTAAGCTGGGAAGCCCTGTTCTGTCATGCTTTTGCTCACTGTCTTCCTGGCATCCACATTAGAAAGATGAATCACACAGAGCATCATCTACGTCATCTAAATAGGGATCTACATGACTGGTCTTAAGGTGAAGATGAGCTACAGCAGACACTGGAGTTCTATAAAGTGATCTCTTCACTCACTCACACACGCCCTTTGATCCCACCGAATGGCTGATGGCCCCTCCACAACATTTGTAGGTCTAACAGGCTGTTCTTGCAGGAACGGAGGCATTTCCCTCTGGGATGGTGGAGGGAGGCATGCAGGTAGACCTCTGCTAAGAGATTTGCTTTTTCAGGAACATCCTGGATAGGTCTCAAGGGGTTCACATGGAGTTTGCAGTTTCTGCATGATCCTGTCATGCCACTGAATGCCTGGCCTTTCCCTCCACTTGCCTTTTCTCTTGGATGTCAAAAAGAAAGGAGTAAACACCAGGCAGCATTTTTGGAAGGATTCCTGCTCTGTGTCTAGAGGTTACATCGACCGCAAAGTCCTTGCATGCTTTTCCAGATCCGTGGAATCAAGTGAGAGAACAACTCAGTCCTTCCGTCTCTAAAGGAGCCTTCCTCCCCCCTTGGTTCTCTTTCTTTACCCATGGCAGATGGGCCCCATATCTGAGAGAACAGTTCGGCCCCTCCCATGTGAGTGCTTTTAGAATCCTGATTTGAAGGGTTTTCCTATGTGTCCCAGACCCCTTTAAGGAGGGTCACTGGCAAGATTGGCATGGACATTTTTACAGTGGCTTCCTGGGGTCCAAACCGAGATCTTTGGGGCAAAGGAAGCCACAGGTAACACTCCCCCCACCCCTTGCAGCTTACTTCCCCTCTTGCAGCCAGCTTGTTTAGACTAGCTGATATTTATGTATTTTCTTTCTACCCTGACTTTCTCCCATACTCAAGGTGGTTCATAGGAAGACTGAAAACAGTTACAGATGAAACAAGAAGAAAATCATAATGTTAGAACAAATTAGAGATGGCAGGCAGAATACTTTTGGTTATTTACCTTGGCATAATAAGCACAGTGGCACAAATATCCACCAATTAACAAGTCACCACCTGTATTCCTCATTGTGCATTCATTTGCACGATTGGCTTGTGATGAGGAATCCAAGTGGTGACTCATTAACTAGTGGTAATCTGCCACTGTGATTTACGCACATAACGTTACTGCACATACCATCAGGAATCTGATGGTTATTAAAACACAAGTAAAGCAAAAGCAGTTAGTTTAAAAATACACACATTAAGGGGGAAAAAAAATACAGCAGCTGCCTTTTCCCAGCAAACCATAGTCCAGAACCCAAAGCATCACCCACAGGTGGAAGGACAAGTGAGAAGAGCTTCCCCTGGAAGAGAAATCCACAGGAACAGAAGGAGTGAGAAGGACCTGCCAAGGCGTGGGAGAGAAATGAAGGGGGAGCATGGGACCGCCAGGCCTCCTCCCTGCCAGGCAAGGGTTCCCCTCCTGCCAGCCTTTGCTGATTCACATGGCTTGGCCTCCTAGCACAAGAACAGAGCAACCGGTTCCAAAGGACCCTCCACCGACTGAAGGGGAGCCCCAGTCTCACGTTCAGGCGCTTTTAGTTGGTGCTGCTTTCAGGAGAAAATTCGTTTAGGATTTGCATTTTTCATTCATCTAGTAAACATTCTCATTCAGATCCAGACTCCTCACTACAGCATTTGGAGCAGCCCGTCTGTCAGTCAGACTCGTTGGCATTTATGCTGCAGCTTTTGCCTCCTTGCCAGAACAAGCGAATCACGCCCTTTTGAAAAGGCCTGCAGGGAGCAACAGCTCAACTCAGCAAAATGTGTGGCTGGAGCGAGGGTTTCTGATCCATTGCCAGATAATTGCATGTGTTAATTGTCCTACGCATTGAAGGCATGCATCATGGGAAAGAAAAAAAATCGGGCTTACCCACAGTATTTGTACAAACTAGAACTCGACTCAGTGAGACTTCCTGCGCAGCTAGTCTGTCAAATCAGTGCAAAAGGATGCTTTTCCCATTTAATCTACAGAGCAGAGGAAACCCAGGGAGCCTCTCTCGGTTGGTGTGTTCCCTGGCCCTGAATGGCTGTCGTCTGCCGGAGGATTTGCACAGCACAGCGGTGGAGACAGACCCAGGAAGAGGCCATGTCACACTATACAGGGTTTAAGGAGGGGCCCTGCTAAGAGTTTCCGAAGGGCAGAGACGGTCGGCTGGGCAGGGTGGCTACCGCCTCCTTCACACCCCACTGCCCCATCCGCTCACCTGGGTGAGTGAAGAGGAGAGGAGAGGAGAGGGTGTGATCTGGGACATGCAGGCTGCATGGGAAAGGTGATGGGCTCCATCCAACTTTAGTCCCAGATAGAAGAGACCCAGTGAAATGAAGTCTCTGCCTTATTTAATCATCATCATCATCATCATTACATTCTGTCCAGGCTACTGGTGGCAGCTCTTCTCAGGGTTTACTAGGCACAGAGTACTCAGAAGTGGTTTCTCCTTCCTTTCTTCTGAGGAGTTTCCTCCCCTGGGAAGCACATTGGGCATCAAACGCCTGACCTCTGGCTCCATAGCCAGGTGCCCAACCCACTGAGCTATCCAGCCAGCCATGGGATAGTTCAGGCAACTCTGATAAAGGTTTCAGAGAGTTTATTCCAGTTGGGACTGATGTTGGATTTAACTCCACATTTCTAGGCAAAATTCATAGGTTTTCACATTACAGACTGGTGCCCACTTTAGAAATTAAAGCCCGGGAGGGGGGGGGACGGGACGGACACACACGGTTATTGTGAGCCCAAACCACCCCTCCAGGATCGTGAGAGAAAGGCTGCCCGGACTGTGGTGTGTGGCTCCCCCTGCGTACTTTTGGAAGGAGGAGAAGAGGTCTGAGTTTGGAGGGCAGCTCGGTCGCCAGGCCACCACAGTGATGCTCCTCCTCAGGTATCCGTTAAGTCTGTTTTAACAGGGCCTGTTTCTGTTCTTACAACAAAACCTTGATTCTCTGCAGACATTTTCAGGGATCAGTTATAAAGGCTGAGGATAGAATGCCTTTGGTTTGGCCCTCTTGGGCAGGCCCTGAACATTTAGCTTTGTGGCATCCCAAAAGATGTGCACCTCTGTGTGCTTGTGTGTCCTTCCACTGTTTACCTTGGCAATAGTGCTTTTGCCAGGGCAGGTTGAGGAGGTCAGGGGCCAGAAACAGCCCTTTGAGGGAGGCTGTGACAAGAGCTGACGGCAGGGAGGTCCCTCTGGCAGCTTTTCTGGGATCCTGAAGTCAGATTTCAAGGACTCCCCTGTGTTAACCTGGAAGACCAGTTCCTGGAGAGAACAGGGTAATCTGCCTGATGCCAAAGGTGAGAGAAGCTCCAGCCGGGATTTATGTTTGTTCAGAATATCCCCGTGCCAGTTGTGGGCTGTTTCTAAGGTCTGCTTTGGGCTGAAATGGAGGACCTTCCTCACTGTTTGTTTAATTATTATTTGTTGCACAAAGTATCAGAAACAGGATCTTGCTAATTGGTTATCAAAGGAATATAAACTAGTAGGCTTGTCAAGAGATGTCTTTGCTTTTCAGGAAGCAGTCTAACATTATGAAAATTTTCTCAGTGGCCCCAGCCGTTCACTCCGTGTGCTGCTTCTTAATGCACCGGGATTGTTTGCGCGTGGGTTTTGCACCTGTAGTTAGACATCACTAGACAGACTGCCGGGATACAGGGCAGTCGCTTGTAGGGAAGCACCCATGGGGCTAAGGCAATGCCAATGTCTTCTGGGATGCAATGGATTTTAACACATACGTATTGAAATTCAACACATTATAGGATGTCTGATTCCAACGTTCGGTTTAGAAACGTAAATTTTGAAGGACTTTTTAAAAAAATTGTCAGTTTTGGATACACTTTCTGGTGGAACTTAGGAAAACTGGGTTCTTCCTCAAATGCTGTTTCTTACAAATGGGGTGCTTGTCACCAACAGGATAGATTTTGTTTTCTTTTAAAAATAAGGCAAAAGATGAAAGTGTAATTTCATGTAATTTTTAAAAAAGAAACACGAAGAAGAAACTGAGCAATACACCTGACACCTGATGAGAGGGGAAACTTCAGCATCACCGTTTGCTGGCAAGTACCCATTTCTACCACTGGCACTAAGGCATGTGCCCACTGCAGTTGAAGGTGCCAAAACAACGACATCTCTGGGCTGCAGGGCAGGCCTTGTCCTTTATGCCCAAACCGACCCCCCACCCCAAGGAAGTGAGGGGGCAACAGGGTGAGCAAAAGCAAAGAGCGAGCATGTTTTCATTACCTCTGTGGCATAAATGCAGGGCTCCGTCTGCTCTGGGATGATGTAGATGGGGGGGTGGTATGTGCCTTCTTTGGGATGTCCAGCAGGAACACCAGACCGGATGGTCCCCGATTTTTTACTACAGGGTAGGAGGAAGGAGAAAAAAAACTTGTGAAGGATCAGCTGTAACATAAGGAACATCTCCAGCTATGCGCAAACAGAGAGGTCCTAGGAGACACGACCGGGAGGGCTCCCGCCACCTGGTGCCCGGCAGGTACATAGGGACCATCAGGGGTCATCGGCCTTCCTGTCACTATTACCCTGTGGTCAGCTCATGCCTCTAGAGAAGAATGGCAGTTGTCGACCAGGACCTCTGGAATGGAGGGGGGGGGGGAAGGCGCCAGGGCCTGTCCAGGCCTCTCGGGGGGAGCGGCTGGTGCAGTGACTAGACTTCCCTCGAGCATCCCACGATTCTTACTCTAGTCAGCCCTAAATGATGAATGTTATCTGTTCCTTCTCTTAGTCTCTGGAACTTACTGATTTTATTAGATGACCTTGAATTTCTGGATGATTTCTTAATTTAATTGTCATGCAGAGTGGGATGCGGGGCTGAAGCAAATGGAAAAGATTAATTCCTCACTCCCACTAAAATGCCAGCTTTCACTGGCTCCAACAGACATGTGAGGAAACCTCATTTGCAATAAGATTTCTGCTCCCACCTTTCTGATAAACACCTGAGGCAGCAAACAAGATAAAAATAAATTGAATTGTTTCGTTAAAGTTTTTGCTTGGAAGCTAAACCCATTCAGTTGTTTGGGTCAATTCAGTCTGTTTGACTGGGATGGGTCAACTTTTCTTATGTTCCATGGAAGCAGAACACTTCAAATTAAAGTAACTTGGACAGTGTTCGGCACTTGCCTTGCAACAGACAGAGCTATGCCCAAAAGTCACAGATTCTATCATAGAAAGCTGAAAGCACTAACTAAGGTGCGAGGAAAAGGAACTGCTCAGGCTGGTACCTGCAAGCCTTCCCAGGAGCAGTGAGCCTTCTAAAACAGAACCCATGGCAAGCGTCATAACAGCCTGTGACTGAACCTCCCAGATTTTGGTTTGAGAGACCAGCTCAAGAGCCCGCTTCGATGGAGGCTGGCCTGACGCTGCCAAGAACACAACCCCATTGGATAAGCCATGGTGGGAGTCGTTACCGCCAAGGCTAAGTGCTACTGTACCTGGAGGGTTCAGAATAGATACCTGTTGCCTTTCGTTGGGTCCTCTTAACGGAAGCAGAAAACCACAGGTGCTCATAAAAGGCAGGCCTTTCAAGCACCTGAGCCTGTGAAATGTTTAGAGATACTTTAGAGATACCTGTGTGTCCTTTCATTTTCCAGGCGTCTCACAGACTGCAAAGCTTTGGCAACCTTGGCGAAAGGAAAAGGTTTAGAACAAATACTGCCACACTGCCTGTGACTTCTAGTCAGAATGAGGAGATTCAATGTTGGAGCAAGAACGTTTCAGAAAGGATGTGAATCAAGCCCTTGGCTGCTTCCAGTGGCTTGTTGTGAAGCTCCAGATCACAGCAAGCCTTTTAAAGCTCCAGATCCCAAGAAGACGCTTAGAAGAGGCGGCTANCATATTGGGGGGGGGGGGCTTCTCCCATAGCACCATGGGATCTAAAATATAATTCATGGAGTTCTAGAAGAAGAAGGTCCTGCAGTGCATTTCATCCTGATCATCTTTATATCGCCAGGCAGGTTTCAGCAGGACCTGCGCAGTACGTACTTTGCTGACTGGACAAGTTAGGGAATCGTCCGGGCTCAGTGCAAAGGGCGGTTTCCCTGCTGGTGAGTGGCTGGGCTGCCTTGGACCAAGCACTTCCCTCGCCTAGCTTTCTGCTGCCTCTGGGGATCCCACGAGCAGGACATGAGCAGAAGCGGCCATTCACCACCCCAGCCCATAGAGAGCCTGCCTTCAGCCACACACACTGCCTCTGGAACTGGGAGCAATCCCAGGCGCCTTGACTAGAGGCGATTTGCAGACGGGAGACGCCGTGGCTCTTTGTGGTTTCCTTTTACAGCCACCCAAGTTGGTGGTTATCACTACATCTTGGGAGAGCGAATTCAGCAGCTTGACTCAAGGCTTCAAGGAAGTCTGTCTTTTTATCTGCCCTGAATCTTACATTGTGTCGCTTAACTGGATGGCCCCCAACTGGATTTGGGATGAGAAGCAAGCAAGCGGTTTCGACCCAGACATGCTGCCCAAAGGGATTGGGGCATTTGGTGTGAGTTTGTGGTAAAGCTTGCTCTGAGGCATCTCTTCCAGCCGGTCTGTCCCTGCTTCCTCCAGGGGGTGGAACCCTGGCATCTCTCAGCCTGTTGAAAATGGCAGGTCCCTCTTCCTTCACCGGTTTCCTTCCCTGGCTACGTGAGTGAGCTTTTAGAGAGACCATTCTCCCGTGTTGTGGACAAGAACCCTAACACGCTGCTCCCCTTTTCCCTTTGCTACCCGGCGTGCCTCACTAAGGCAGTGGGGGACAGTTGGGGGGGGACAGGCTATGGAAAGGGAGGAGACTGTACATGGATAGCACACAACTCCTTTAACCAAAATGGTAGCCTTCGGCCTCCAAGGCAGCAGCCCCCCCGCCCAGCAGCAACAATGTCCATTCCATTCCCTCCTGCTTTCCTGCCCCCTCAAATCTTATAACACCTATTCCTGAAGCAAACTCTTTGGGGGATTCAGAAGCTTGTCTTGTTCCTAACTTTTTAGTGTGGCAACAAAGGTATGACCCAACTAGAGAGTGGCAGCAAAGGCAGGGAGACCCAAGGAGAGACCGGGTGCCACTTACTTCTCCAACTTCTTACAGATGGACTCCCGGCTCTGATCCAGCAGCTTCCTCTTGCAGTTGAACTGGTCACTGAATCTGGACTCCCTGTTGGACACCTTAAAGCGCCCAGGGGAAATGAGGAAGCCCTCCCTTTCCTTGAAGTTGTTGATGGTCGCCAGGTTGTTGCGGACGGTGCTTTTGACAGCCTTGTGACCCTGCCTCAGGTGCCGGAGCACCACCACGGCCGCGCAGGCCGCCAGCACCAGGGTCAGGAGCCCCAGGACAAAGGAGGCGGCCAGGGCGAGAGGGAAAGGCCCTTCGGCCACCCGCTGGCTGCTGACGGGGGTGGGAGCCTGGACTCTGAACTCGCAGCTGGAGCCCATGTAGCCGGCCGAACACTCGCAGACGTGGCCCGAGAAATGGGTGTAGCAGGTGCCGCTGTTCAAGCAAGGGCTGGAGCCGCAGGCGTCCACGCGGGCGCCGCAGTCCTTCCCGCCGTAGCCCAGGGTGCAGGAGCAGGTGTATCGGTTGGGGCCATCGATGCAGGTGCCCCCGTTGGCACACGGGCTGCTCGCACAGTCGTCTATGTTCAGCTCACAGCGCGAGCCGGTAAAACCCGGGCGGCATTTGCAGATCACGCTGCGGCCCAGATCCAGACAGTGGCCACCTGGAAAGAAAAGGAAAATTACTCGCATCTGACTGCAGATTATTTGCAACTGGTCCCCTCTGGAAACTAGGAGAAGGCAAAAAAGCACACTTTCTTTATTCTACTTGAATTCTATTTAAAATACTATATTTTACCCTGCTTTTCTCCTTAAACACACCTCCTTCGCTCCTTGCTTAACTATTTTAAATGAGCTTGGTCAAATAATACATCACAGAAGTAGGAAGACGAAATAAAATAAAATGCACCATATCTACATCACATCCCAAAACTGGGAAATCTGTTCAAGTGGCTTTTTAAAAGTCATGCCTTCTTCCCAGGCATTTCCAGGAATGATGAGGTAGTGGCCAGAGACCATGACAGGAAAATTCCCAGTGTCCTCAAGGTGTTCTTTGTTTTTTCTTTTTCAGGAAGACTTGGTAATTAAAATGAAAGCAAGAAAATAAAGTGACTGAGTGGAGGGACACAAAATATTGCAGCCCTTTGAAGGCTCGCAGGTTTATTTCAGTGTGAGCATATCTGGATGAAAATCCCCTTCTTCAGATAACCTGAAGTGGATTCTGAGCCATGAAAGCTCGCCCTGAAACAAACCTGTTCCTCCTCGAGGTGCCACAGAATCTTGCCCTGCCTGCCCTCCCACTTCTTCCCCCAGTCCTTTTCATTTGGCCAGGGTGCTTGGACAGATTAGCCCAGCTACCTCTTTGGAGGCTTACAGTTATGGAAGCAAAAGTAAGGCCAGGCCCAGTGCGATGCTACTGTGATGATGCCTGTCCCGATCGACAGCAGCAGCACATGGCACGGCGTCGCTAAGGAGAGCGCCACAAAAGAGAGGGCTGAGCATCTTTCTGCACAGGGCTGTTTCAAGGGCCCAGGCATATCCACGAATCGGGTGCGCCAAGATGATGAAATTTCACCTGCTGCAGTTGCTCCAATCTAGCTGGTCAGGAGGCTGGTTAATCCTCTCACGTGTCCCTTGAGGTTTCAGCCCTGGGACCAGTAGTGAGGATGGGGCAGCCAGGAAAAAAAACAACAACCCTGGAGATTGTCAAGGGTGGGAGACCTGCAGCCTTCCAAATGTTACTGGACTGCAGTCTGTGAACAATCTCGATTCATGAAACCACCTAAACACAACCTTTGGCTTCCATTGCTGTGCTGTGTACTTCATCACGTCGTCCATGAAGACAATTGCTCATTGTTTCTCAAAGGCCGTTGAGATCCCCAATGACAAAACAAGGAGGAAAGAAACTTCCCAAGGATGCCACTGGCGGGGTCAGTTGAGCACTCTGATTAGTCAAAGGTATTTGCTGGAAAGCTCTTAAAATTGTCGAGAGCATTTAAAAAATTTTTTTTCCCTCTCTGGGACAAAATGTTCCTTGCAGAAATATGGTGTAAACCGCCCAGGTAGTGCACAGTGGGGCAGCACAGAAGTTGAAATGACAATGACAACAGGAGTTCTGGATTTCTGGACATGGCCCTCCACTCTCAAAAGTGCTCGCAATTCTCTGACCAGGTCTTCATTAGGTCTTTAAAGATCCCCAAAGATGCTCCACCCTTTCCAGGACTTAGAGCTCTCTCTCTCTCTCTCTCTCTCTCTCTCTCTCTCTCTCTGTGTGTGTGTGTGTGTGTGAGAGAGAGAGAGCGAGAGAGAGCGAGAGAGAGAGAGAGAGACTTTTTAATGGACCACTGCTCCCAAACTTGTTTATGATCCCTACTTTTCAGCAGTCCCACTGTAGCAGCTGCTCCATGTCAGGAACATCAGGAACACAAACTGCTCCTCTATCTGACTTGCTTCTGTGGTCGAGTATCCAAGGCTATTCAGGATAAAAACAGATTCAGTAAAAGAAGTTTATTTTCTGGAGGGGAGCCATGTTTGTACAAGGAAAGGAGCCAAAGGATCACAATGCTGTCACAATGATATCCTTTGGCCATTTCTTGCAAAATCAGTAGCAAAATGCCCCCCTGCACGATATTCTTCCAGCGGGTCAAAGTCCTTTTACGTTAGGAATCTGGCCACATCTTGGGCCCCCTGCTGAGGGGTTTGAGCCTGTTTGCTTCCAGGTTCTTTTCAACTGTTGGATGGCTTTTGTTGTTTTTCTTTGGTGTTGCTTTGCAGAGACAGGATGCATGACTTGACCCTTTTCAAGCTGGCCGCTGCAGCTGCTGCAAGGTTTCCATGGAGTGGATATTACCTCCTCCAAGTCACTCCCAGATTGTTGGTACTCCTTGATCTCAGTTTCTGACCACTTAGGTGGCTTGGGCATTTCTCTGGCTTGGTTTAATCCTCTCTTAGCTACCTTCTTTCAGAAAGACCTTTGTGCAATATCTCTTTGAGGCCTTCTGTTTATCTCCAGCTTCCTTGTTCAGCTTTTTCGTACAAAACCCTGATATGTGGCAACACGTCCTTTAGGCTTCTGTGCAATTGGATAGAAGGGCAGGTCCTCCAGCAGCTGCATTCTTCCAGGCAGCCTTTCGTGTGGAATCCCAAACTCTCCTCTCTCTTTTGAGGTGTGTTCATGCTGTCCCTTCTGTTTATACAAAGTCCTCCCAAAAGACTGAACAGTTTTCCCCAGTCTCCCTCGTTTAGAGAAGCAGTAGCACATAAACTGCATTCCTTTTAGGGAGGAAAAGGGTCTTTAATTTGATCAGAACAGCCCCAAAGTTCTGCTTGTGGCCCAGTTGAGCAGCAGGCAGGATTCACAGCCTGTACCATGAACTTTTTATTATTATTATTATTATTATTATTATTATTATTATTATTATTATTATTATTAATGACATAAAAGAAAGAACTTACCTGCACTATTCCTTCGGTTTGTGAAGCACGCTAATCTCTCTTTCCAGTCCAATCATGATGCTCGATTAAAGCGAGAGAGCAGGGGACTGCCATTTTCCTTATTTTGTTAGTTATGTGAGGGTTTAAGTCTTCATGTTTGATATTATGTCATAGAAGGCTTAGCCAACATAACTGTTAGGAAATTAGAAAAGCTCTTTCCGAAAAGAACAGAACACAGCCAGCTCCCAGCTCTGCCTGTCCAGGGCCGCCAGTGGATCAACTATATCATGGCCATATCCACACAACGGACGGGTTTTTTTTTCACAGGGGAGCAACTGGGAGCTGCACTTACATCTCTGGGACCCTGCAAGGCTTGACCCCTTCTTTGACGTCCTTCCATGCCCCTTCACGTGCTGAAATTTGGAGGAAGAGATGACTCCAGGCAGCCCATCATATTGCCTTGGGGGTGTGGTTGTCCATTTTGCTTCCTCTGTAGCCCCCCCCACCTCATTTAGTCTCCTGAGGTTTTTTTTACAGGTCAGGGTCTCAAAAGGGCCAGCTGTTGCTCCCGTTTTACTTTTATTTTCATTTCTGCAACCGAGCCGGCTGAGGACCTCTGGAAGACTCGAGGGAAGCGCCTCCTTCCTTCCCCTTGGGGGTTCTAGAGGGAGACACGGCAGCAACGAAGGGAACAGGTGGCGTGGGGGTCCTTTCCACTCCTTGCTTGGACCCAAAGCTACCTGAGGGCCTGGGGCTTTACTTTGGGGTTTGTATTTTGCAAAAGACTGGGCAACCCAAATGTCATTGCAGTGGAGCCACAAACAGGGAAGAGTTGAAACTGGTGACCTATCCTCATGGGAAGGAAAGAAAGAAAGGGAACGGGAAGAAGACTCTGCCTGGTCTCATTTCCTTCCACCCTGTCTCCCTCTGCAACTTCCAAGAAAAGCTATTGTAGATAAGGACAATGTGTCCCTTTCCTTCTCTTACCCCTCCTGCCTCCAAAGGAGCAAGACAAACTTTTCAAGGAGGAGGTCATCTGAGGGTCCAAAGCTTACAGGAACAAACCCTGGGGGTTCAGGTATTTGATGTGTCAAAGCCTTCCACCCCTGCCCACCTGCCAGAGGTAACCTTTCACAGCACCTCCTGAGCGAGTCCACAGCCTGATGTGAACTGGGTTAGAGAACAGGAGCACCAGGCTCACATGTCCATCCACCAGCATCTTTCCAACATTTTCCTGGCCATCTCTGCACACAGGTCCAGCTCTTATTGTTGAGTTTCTGTGCACAAGCACACAACATTCACAAAGAAGTGACAGACAGCAAGAGTTGCCAGACTGAACCACAATGTCAAGAGCAGCATCCACCGCCGCCGCAGCACCCGAGACCTCAGAGGTGCAAGACGTGGCTGCCAAAAGCCCTGTCGCTGCAGCCCTTTGCCTAGTTCTTGCAGGAAGGACTTGAGAGGCCCCCCCAAAACCAGCTCATGGGCCATCAGCGCATGCAGTGCTGTCTTAATTTCCTCCTGCCTGTGATACTGTGGGTTGTGCACAGGGGATACAGAGAAGCAGCCTCCTCTAAGAAGGAAAGGACCAGAGACACATTTTGGGCACCACGAGGTTGCTTCTGACATGAACGACAAAGATCACAACAAGCGACGGCTGATGCTCCCAGTCGTTTGAGTTGCCCTTTTCCTCATGGGCGATGCTGAACATGCTTTTAAAAAGATGCAATTACTACAATCCTCTCCATGCGCGTGGGTGCAAATACACCACAGATGCAGCCCAAGGCACCCCAGAGTGACTGGCACTCTCTCGTCAACTATGCATGTATAAATTCCCCACTCCCACCCACTTGACTGAGACTCAAAACCCCAGACATGATTTTTCTCGTCTACCAAATAAGAGAAACGGCACCTACTGTTCAAACAGGGATTGCTGCTGCACCGATCTATCTTTTTCTCGCAGTTGGAACCGTGGTAATTCACTGGGCAGTGGCAAGTGTAGCCTCCTAGGTGCTTCTCAGCACAGGTCCCACCATTGAAACAAGGTCCATCTGCACAGGTCATGGCGCTGATCTCGCAGTTCTTGCCGTAGAAGCCCTGAGGACAGGTGCATCTGTAGTCGTTCTCCAAGTCCTGCGAAAAGGACCAAAGGGCAGCCAATCAGAGCTTTTTTGCATGGCACAGAAGAGAGGGAGAGGCCATCCCCTGGCTTTGCACATGGGATTAGATCACCAGGAAGACTGACCAGCCTGTCCCCCAATGGGTGCCGGGGGGGGGGGCGGCTTTCCACACCTCACCTCTTTCTGCTGCCAGTGGCCTTCCTCCTCCCACCTTTTCTGTCTCCTTATATTCCACTTTTTAATTAGTTCATAAAGCTGAGGTTAAAGCCTAGCTTTCATTGCTTTGCATACGTGGCTATCACTGCTTGAAAAATTGGGGTGGTTTTGCAATAAAATTAACATTAGGAGATAACTATATAGGTGTCTCCACAAGACCTCATCTATTAGATTCAGTCTGTGAATCTGCCTGCTTCCTGCAACAGGAATATCCATTTCAACCCTGTTTACTGTCAGTAGCAGGGATTTTTCCTAGAGCTTCTATATCAGCCGCTCTCAAGAGTAAGATTACATGCAGCTCCTGGTCCTGTAGCCAGTCTCTTGAAAACATCACTTTGTTACCTTACTTCACTGATGCAACCCCCCAAAAGGGGGGGGGGTCCTAGATTTGTAGCTGAACTTAAAAACCCCAACCCTTTAAACATTTCACATGCAGAAAAAGTGGACTTGGGTGAACTCGTAGTTACTCTATAACAGCACTTGCCGTGTGTCTGGCCACTCAAACCAGCCTATGGCTCTTCCTAAGGTGACACATTCATACACCAGGGCATATTTTTAAATGCAGCATGATTTAGAGACCAGACTTCATGCCGCAAATCAAAGAGGTCAAAGCTGGAAAGATTGCAGCTTTGGGGTGCATCGGCTGTAGACTGACCAGAACATAATCCTTAGTGAATGGCTATTCTCTAATTGGGCACCTGTTTAAAATGTCAGATGCTAGCACCTAAGATTCAACAGGCAATCTCAAACAGAAATCACAAAATCATCAGCTGGCTTCTGGACGTGCTGGGCTCCTTCCCGACGGCCGCAAGGGGGCAGGCGTTCTGCACCTCCGAGGAGGCTCTTCTTATTTCCCCGGCCACTGAGCTTGCACAGAGGCCACCCCTGCCCTTGTCTCACTGAAGCAGCCCTTACTGAAGCAGAGAGAAGGCGACGCAGGCGGAGAAGACGACAGGAGCAGGAGCTTGCCATTCGCCTTTCTGCAAGGCAACTTAGAAAAGAGAAGCTCGGCCAGCTGCCCTCTTTAAAAAGCGCCCCGGAGTGAATCAAATCCATGGTCTACCATGCGTCTAAGCTGGCTAAGCCAGCGAACTATGGTTGCCTCAATATTAGCACGAAAGCCCACTTGCAGGTGGAACAAGAAGATCCGATCAGTGGGGACACTGCTGTGACATCTGAAAGCAGAGAGATATCTGCCCAATTCCACCTCTTCTGGCTCTGGAGCTGAACGATGAATCAAAAGAGACATCCCTGGGGGAGGGATGCGGTGTGTGTGTGCAGATCGGTCCCTTCATGGCGGAGCCTGCAGTGGAAGCATTTTGCAAGTGCAAAAAGGCAACCAACCAGACGGCAGACCTTTGACCAGAAATCATTTAAAACCAGTTGCAGGGGCAAAAAAGCCCCATGGACGCAGACTGTCCACTGGGTGCAGCAGGAACCAAGGCCCCCCGAACAACCAGCAATAGGCATAGATCAGTCAAATGGGAGAGCCAGTAATCTTCACTCCATTCATAAAACTCTGTCCCACACCACGATTCAGGAGTGTTGGTTCCAGAAGGTCTAAGAATGCGATGGGACTCCTCTGCACATGGCCCAGAGATTGGTTTCACAAAATGGTAATCTCTCAGTTGATGCTTCAGCGGCATATTTTCTGCACTGGTCAGCTATTGCATGCAATGTGTACTATTCTGAGGTTGGATGGATCCTTTCCCTCCCTGAACAAAGGTGGGCAGCAGGCTCCTGGCCCCACTTCTGACATGCTGCATTCGATATTCTCTGTGCCTCAATGGCTTGGTTGCAGGCTAGCCCTGTCCTTTGACAAGGATAGTTAGGCTCCTGGTAGCTCCTTCCGTTTCCATTCATCTTCCTCCTGTCAGCATCCCACTCCCTGACACATGGAACCACTGGCAACTCCCACTTCCTGCCTGTATGGCCATCTCAACCTCTCCGTAAAGCTGGATTTCCTATTTTCTCCTCTGCATTCATGACCTCCCATCTGCCGCCAAGAAATCTGCATTCCCTCATAGTCCTCATATCCAAGAACTGAGCAGAACTGAACTCTTTCCCTTTCACCCAGTTCCCTGCCCACAAGCTAAAGCATGGCTTTCTCTGTTGTCTCCGCTGACGCTCTGACAGCCCAGTTGTTTCACCCTTGTGGCATTTGTTCCTGATGGTTTCAGACTTCCAGCCTCTCCTTTCTAGCCTTCATGCTCGTTTCTAGCTTTGCTTGTTCTTCCCTCCCCTCCTGCTCTATCCTCTTCCGTACCAACCTGTCTTTTCTGAATTCAGCATGAAGATGCCATCACTTTTTATTTTTGCCTCCCTTTCCCTCTAAACTCTTCATTCCCCTCATCTTGGTGTCCTCAGTTTTTGCACATACATGTAGAGCCATTTTTAAACACTGCAATAATTCCTCCTCCCTCTTTCAACCCCTCCCCCACTTACCTTTTCTTCCATGCATCCACTTTCCCCCCTCTGCCCTCCCAATTCAAGTCCCATTTTCATTTCCTCCCACTTTTTTCTCTTAGGCACTGTTAGCTGGTAGTCCTGTGCTTCAAGGACTCAAGTATAAATGCAAAATATCTTTGCTGTTTGCAGCACAAGTGACTGGGGGGGGGGGCGCCATTCCCGTTGTATAGCCAGGTACTAGCTAGGAAAGGTGTTGGAGCTTTGGATTTGCTCTTCTTAAACATGGCAAGAGAAGCTGGCTCATAGATCTGTCTCTCTACCACCTCCCAACTCAATGCATGGCAGTGTCCTTACTGATGACACTGAAAAGTGCACCTAAGGAGACCCTTCGAGTCATATGGACGGGCTTTGCAAAGAGGTTGGCTACCAAGCCAGGCCTACGACTAAGAGATATGCAACCCTCTCTTGTCTGTGACTCACTCCACCCGTGGCTTCCACAGAAGCATTCTTCTCCAACTGAGCTTCCGTCCTAATAGCTCACTAGTTAGGGAGAATAGGCTTGTGTGCTGGGAGAAGGGATGAGATGGTGGAGAGAACAAGGTCCTGTAGAGATGGCACACCTGGGCCGTTGCCCTTGCTTGAGCAGCCCCTTTTGCTCTAAGAAGGCACTCTTGCAAAGCTCCTGCCACCCCAAACCAGTTTTTTCACATAGTGCTGCAACCCATGCAAACCGGTTCCCTGTCATCCTAAGCAGGAACTCTTAGCCTAGCATCCAAGTGATAGGTTTTTTAAAAACTCTGTGTCTGAAACATTAGATGTAACAGTTCCTTCCCCCTCAAGAATGCTACAGGTTTTCTCCTTCCTCTGGACAGGAAAATGACAGGACTTAGATAACTGCACAAAAATTGTTTGCAAAATTGAACCACCACCACCACCCTTGGTTGGGATGAGCTGAACACATCTGGGAGGACCGTCTTGAGAAATCTTTGCAGGGAAGCCGACAGCCAAAGCAGCTTGGAAGGGTCCAGGGATGTCAGGACACTCAAGGTCTTCCAGCAGGGGGCGTCCTTTACTAAACCTTGAGCCCTAAGATTTCACCCTCACACTAAGAACTTACCGGTGGCTGAGCTGTTGTACAAGACTTTGGAAGGTGGGGGGGCGGGGCAGGGGGGAGAGGCCCAAAGCAAACAATTCTGCAGGTGTATATGGACAGACTGGAGACTAGTAACATTAATTCAGTGTCTGAAGAACTGGATTTTGACCCACACCAAAGCTGTACCCCCATCCCCAGAGACCACACCTGCTTATGTTCCTGTTAAGCTCCATTGAAGTGCCGTAGAAACCGTTTAGGTTTTTTAATACTCTTCACCTAAGCACGGCAGTCACTGGCACTTCTCTCCAGAACATCTTCACTGGCTCAGCCCAAGTCTGCCACCTGAACGTCTCAACAAATCACCACTCAAATTTACCTGGAGGTTCATGAAGATGAGGCAGGCCGGGATTAGACAAGAGGAAAGCAGGCCAAGAGGCCACCCAGATTGCGCGCGTTCCACTTCCCATGCTCCATTGGGGTGGGTCTTACCCAAGAAATCCAGCGACTTGGTGGGCTTTTACTCTCTTGGTACAGACTAACAAATGCATCATCAGGATTGACTGCAAGGTCATCCAGGCTGTGCACATGTCAACTAATTATGAAGAGAGGATGTGCGCCATTAAAATGAAAACCAAGCTATTCTGGTGGTTCTGTATGGATAATGCCTAGTTTCTATGTGGGGCTGCAAGGCTCCCCATGACTCTTTCATCTGTCAGCGTTGGTGTTATGAACAGCATTGTTCAAGAGGGTCTTTGGGGTCCCACATGCTCGTATTAGGCAGACCAAAGAAGGAGGCCAGGAGGGCTCCAGACTTTACCAGACAGCCATGTTTGCTGCAGAAACACCAACTGCTGTACAGGATGCAGAAGGAAGTTTCCTGAGAGTCTCAGACTTGATTAAAAAAGAAAAAGAACATTAGTCCCTAACCCTCACGGTTGAGAATATATGTTTGCCAGTGTGCAGGCACCGCCCAATGAAATCCCAAAAGACAGAGGAGCTGCTGAATTAGGGCTTTAGTGATCATAGGCGTGTACCTCTGTGCCCCGTAGCCCCTTCTTGCCCCTCCCTGTGCACAGGAGAACTGAAGGAGATGGATGGGCAAGAGCGTATGTAAAAAGAATGGAGACACCGAGTTGGCATAATGTGGCAGGATGCAGCTTAGCTTCTCTTAGCGCAGATATCTGGTGCATAATTACCTTGATGAATTTTGTTTCAAACACATCTTGAAGATACACTGCAGTGCTCCCAAAAGCACCACCAGGGCTGCAAATGGTGCCACCTAGCTTAGCTCAAGACCTTGCCAGGGAGCTCTGCGGGCACATTTCACATAAAAAGGAAAATGGTCTGTGCAGAAATGATGGAGGAAATAATGCTGCCTTCTGCTTTCTTGCAGCCTTCTGTCCAGGCAGGCCGTTCCCCACCTGCCAAAGAATATCACAGCCCATGGGACTTACATGGAAATACACACAAGAATTTTCTTCTTCTTCTTCTTCTGAAAGGAGAAGCAACTCTGCAGTGGGTGTGGACACCCTAAGGAAGCAGATCATAGCTTGATTCTGGCAACATCCATATTGTAAAAGCAAAAGCGTGCTGCTTATGTACTGAAGAAAACCCTGTTTTCTCTGCCTTTTAGCTCTTCTTGCAAGTGAGGAAAGCAGAGGAGGTGAAACATGCTATGGGAAGGCTAAAACAAGGATTGGATCTGGCCACGTCCTTCTCCCCAAGGCAGCCTGGGCCAATAGTGGACAGGACCACTGGCCCATGGTAGCCGCTGCCCAGATCCTGAAAGGATATTTCAGAGCGGTCACAATATTAAGCAGCTGCAAACCACTGTTTAAATGTGAGCTCAGATATTGCCTCCAGCATCAGGACAAGCCCCTTTCCCACCCTCCCCTGTATGATAGGCCATATCCAAGGATGCAGAGGCTGAGATAAGAGGGTCTACCTCTAGGATAGCAAGACCTGAAGTGCTTGATCGCTCCTGCACGAGATGAGCTCTCAAGGTGTAGCACATGCTGTCGTAACTGAACCTTGGACACTTCAGGCCTCACCTATGTGGGGCTCTCAATGGAGTCGCCCTCTCCAAAGATAATATCAGAGGAGAGAGAGAGAGAGATTTCTGAAAATCTTAACCGTCTGTCCCATTGCCTGGCTCCTGTGGGCAGGAGTCAGGAATCCCAGGTGCTGGGGCCAAATCCGGCCTTCTGGGCTTCTTTATATGGCTAAGTTCCTTTCTTCCTGACACCATCCCTTGCTGGTTTCCCATCATTTATACAGACCTGAAACACACCCACCCACCACCAGAGTCCCAAATTCCAAGAGAGTGGAATGCGTTTCCCAAGGCTAAGTGACTGGCAGTTAAGAGTCTGAAGCCCAAAATGTGGCCTTATTTCTGTTCCACGATTTTGCTTCTGGTCCAGCCCATCCCTAGACTGCAGAACACCCCCCCCCCAGGCCTTATTTCTGTTCCACGATTTTGCTTCCATCCCTAGACTGCAGAACACCCCCCCCAAAAAAGTCTTTCCTCAAGCTAAATTCTGCCTTTGTACTACATAACAATTGAAGGGCTAGGAAGGAGGTGAGGAGAGGGACAGGAAGTTTGAGGGGGGAAGGTGCAATACTGACATTACAGCTGCCTCCGTTCTTGCAGGGGTTGCTGTCACACTCATTCGTCTCGATCTCGCAGCTGGTCCCCGCAAAGCCAGCCCGGCAGGTGCAGGTGTAGCTCCCTTGGCCTGTGTTGGTGCAGGTGGCGCCATTCTTGCATGGGTGGTGGTTGGTGCAGTAGTTGAGGTCCTGGTTGCAGAAGAGCCCGCCCCAGCCTTCCTGACAGTTGCATTGCCAGGGCTGTGCACAAGTGCCGTGAAGGCAACCTGGGTAACGGACACACTCCTCGCACAAGGGCCCTTGCCAGCCAATCCGGCACTTGCATTCCCCAGGTTTCTCGCAGAACCCGTGGCTGTGGCTGCAGCCGGGCAGACAAATGGCTGAAGAGAGAGTCAAACAGAAAGAGAAAGAGAGAGAGAAAAAGAGAGAGAGAGAGAGAGAGAGAGAGAGAGAGGCCAGTGCTGTTGCTGTATATATTTCACGCATCACACCAACATCTGGCGCCTGCCACTGCCCCAAACAAAAGGCCCACATGCCACCCAAAAAGGCGAGCCACCACAGGACAGAGCCTGGCCAAGCTGGAACACGTGTCTCCTTTTCATCTCTGGCTGCTCTCCATTGTTCCTTGGGAACAAAAGCGGAGTGTCTGGTGAAAAAAAGAGTGTGGGGGGATTGCCCCCCCGACCCACTTTTACGAGGGGGCCTCCTTCCCAGCCGAGGCACACCAGGCAGCGACAAAGGCAGGCTAGAATTGCAGGGCCGGCTTGGCCCTGGCTGGCTCTCTCTCTCCCCCTCACCTTTCCCCTTGGGAAGTTAACCAGCCCTTCCATATGCCAAGCCTCCGAGGGGAAGCTTTGTGAGGCAATTAAACCGTTGCGATTAAAGGGGCTGTAAAAGGAGGGATTCCTCAGGCCTGGAGCCATTTCCATGGAGACTGGCAAGGCCCACGAGGGCTGGGGACGGTGTGCCTTTCAGCCTGCTTCTCTTCCCTCTGTTTTAAGGTACTGGGAAGGGGGAAAGGCGTGTGTCTACTTAGCCCTTGCATATCTTTCAACTTTAACGTCCTGAACTATCAATCTGCAGCTGCAGCCCATGGCCATCATCCTCCCTGATCCCAATGTCTCAGCAAAGATGGCCTAGTTAGAGAAGAGTCTGCCAGGAAACCCACCTATTTGCTTAAGGCGACCGTCCACCATCCTCAGTGACAAAAGGGGAGGAATGCCCAAAGCAGCATGAAATGAAGCCATCTCCCAGAGCATGGATTTCTCAAAACCTGTGTCATCAGATCAGGGGGCAAAGTCTTCCTGCTCAGAAGGAATGACTTCCTGGATAGTCTGCGGTCAGATTGCTACTGTTTGCATCCCCTCGGGGGAGCAGAGGAGAAGGGGATGAAAGAAATCCCACCCACCCCTGACTGAAAGGGCTTATTTTGCAAAGGGCCATCTGGCCAGTTTGAGGCTCCCCCATTTTCCACTGAGAGCCACTTTGAGAACATGGATTATTTTGCTGGACCACACAAGCTGCCCTCCAGCTCCAACCAGCCAGCTCAAGAAGGGAAGGAGGTTGGAAGTTCAACTTCAGATCTGAAGAGGTCTTGTTGAAACTGAGGGGCACTTCCCCTCGCTCCTGTCAAGCAGCCCTGTCAAGTCCTACAACATTTGCAGGACCCATTTGTTGTTGCTGTTTAGTCATTAAGTCGTGTCCGACTCATGAGCCCATGGACCAGAGCACGCCAGGCCCTCCTATCTTCCACTGCCTCCCGAAGTTTGATCAAATCCATGTTGTTCAGAGGTCTTGTTGAAACTGAGGGGCACTTCCCCTCGCTCCTGTCAAGCAGCCCTGTCAAGTCCTACAACATTTGCAGGACCCATTTGTTGTTGCTGTTTAGTCATTAAGTCGTGTCCGACTCATGAGCCCATGGACCAGAGCACGCCAGGCCCTCCTATCTTCCACTGCCTCCCGAAGTTTGATCAAATCCATGTTGGTCCCTTCGACCATCCATCTCATCCTCTGTCGTCCCCTTCTCCTCCTGCCTTCACACTTTCCCAACATCAGAGCCTTTTCCAGGGAGTTCTCTTCTCATGAGATGGCCAAAGTATTGGAGCCTCAGCTTCAGGATCTGTCCTTCCAGTGAGCACTCAGGATTGCATTTCCTTCAGAACAGATAGTTTTGTTCTCCTTGCAGTCCAGGGCACTCTCAAGAATCTCCTCCAGCACCACAATTCAAAAGCATCAATTTCTCAGCAGTCAGGACCCATTTGCAAGGCTCCAGATGCCATCACCTCTCATTAGAGAGGCCTGAAGGAGGGCAGGAAAGCTCAGATGCCATCACCTCTCATTAGAGAGGCCTCAGAAGCAACACCTGTTCTGAAGGAGGGCAGGAAAGCTTTATTGCCTCAACAATGTTCTAATCATTTTGTTCTGGATTCAAGCTGGAATACCAATTTCCTAGGACAGCTAAAAACCAGTTGCTACTCCTTGGACTTTTGAAAGGCCACCTGTGGCCATGAATTCTGTTGGTTAATTATGAACGGTACAACATATTGAATCTGCTGTCTATCCCTGTCGGTGGGGAACCTGCACACCTTGTAACAGGTAAAATATGGGACATTTCCAGCCCCTTTGTCACCACTGCTCATAATTGGATTTTTAAAACCTGCTTTCAGACTAAATGTTTCTTACCTTATACTGAAGATCTTTCCATTTTTCATCTTATTAATTATGCTACTGAAAAAGAATGACTCCCTTCCTCCTTTTTGCCAGAATTCATTTCTTGAGACTGACTGACAAGAAATCTGAACCCTCCTAAAAGTGAGGATCCTAAATGTCCCTCAAAGAGGTGTAAACCTAAGTCAACAAACTTCTTCCTGATCGCTCTGATAATTCCTAAAAGTGAGGATCCTAAATGTCCCTCGAACAGGTGTAAACCTAAACTTCTTCCTGATCGCTCTGATAACTATAATTTGCCAATGGCAAACAAGATAAATTGCTCTGCAGCGTTAATGAGATAGATAGACATGTGTACACTTTGTGGTTTCTTTACATTTTGTTAATGTCATTAAAAGCTCCGGCATATCCCAGAGGAAACACAAGAACGGGCAAAACAATTCGGGTTTTGCTATGATCCCAAACATGGCACACCTCCCCTTTAGAAGGCAGGTGGCTCCTGCAAGTTAGCAAGATCAGGATATTTTGACTCAAAAGAAAAGCATGGTGAACAACATAGCAATGGACTAGTAAAGGGGCTCCCAACTGCAGATGTTCTTGGACTACAGCTCCCAGAAAGCTGTGCCAGGACAGCTAGCATTGAAAGCTTCTTTCTGGGAGTGTTCATCCAAGAACCTCTGCGGAGCTGAGGTTGGGAACCACTGGATTAGATGGGTCAGACCATCATGCCCAGCATCCAGGCCCCTCACAGTAGCCACCCAGCTGCCCCTGGGAAACCTGCCAGCCAGACATGGGGGCTACTCATCCTTCCTCCACCCATGAGTGGACTGTAATCCCATCTTCTAGTCCAGCCCTTGCCCCCATGAACTCGGCTACTCCTCTGTTAAAGCCACGTAAGTGTGGGGGCTCCCACATCACATCCTGCAGCCCTGAGTGCTTTATCTTTCTTTTGCATCGCATACAGAAATAATTTCCTTTTCTTCTGAAGCTCCTGGAAACTGTTTCATTTTCAATTCCTTCTCAGCAGAGAAAAGGATCAAGTTCACAATGAAATCCCCAAAGAATTTACATGGGCACAAGGAATACTACAGTAAAAATGATGTGCCACTATGTTGATTCAGTTATAGCAATCTCTTTCAGGAATCTCTATTGTTTGAGAGTCGTTGTCGTTTAGTCGTGTCCGACTCTTCGTGACCCCCACGGACCAGAGCACACCAGGCTCTCCTGTCTTCCATTGCCTCCCAGAATTGTGTCAAATTCATGTTGGTTACTTCACAGACACTGTCCAACCATCCCATCCTCTGTCATCCCCTTCTCATCTTGCCTTCACACTTTCCCAACATCAGGGTCTTTTCCAGGAAGTCTTCTCATGAGATGGCCAAAGTATTGGAGCCTCAGCTTCAGGATCTGTCCTTCCAGTGAGCACTCAGGGTTGATTTCCTTTAGAATGGATAGGTTTGTTCTCCTTGCGAGTACTTTTGGAGAATCCCTGGGGTGCATTTCCAACCTCTGGCTCCAGAGCCAGCAATCTCACTGAAGAGAAGCCCATCAATCCATGGTGTATGTTTTTCTTCAGCCAGATATTCATTCGACTGCGTGTGAAATTGGAGTGAGTGGTAATGACTGCATTTGTCTTTGATTGATTTCTTTTGATGCCTGCTTCCCAACTACATGACAGGAAAAGTGATTTTTGAAATTGCAGGAGGGCAACGCCTTTCCCTACCTGCCCAGCCCTGTCGCCACAAGGTGAGCCTTACCAGAGTCCAAAAGCAAGGGGACATCCTGTGCTACACCTGAGAAGGCCAAGGGAAGCTCAGCCGCTATCCCGCCCCTCCAGCCACAGCCGCCTCCCCTGCACCCTCATGGCTACTTACGCTCGGAGCAGTACTCGCCTCGCCACCCTGCTAAGCATATCCGGCCGCCCAGTTCATCACATGTGTAGTGCCCAAAGGTATCATCTCGTGGGCGGCAGTAATCCGAGCAGCTCTCCCCATAGTAGTGCTCATCGCAGGTGACGTGGTAGGAGTAGCGCAGCTCACTCTGGTCTCCCAGCTGGACGTCTTGAGACCAGTCCTCGCCCACAGCCAAGCGACGGCGTGTAGCCAGACGGCTGATGCATCCAGGGGCATCGTCTGGAAGGAGGGGGAAGGAGGGAGAATGACAGTTGGGCAGGGTCACAAAGCTTTGGGGAGGGGGCATAGGAAGAGATCTACCAGCCAGGAATGAGGGTTAAATCTCTGAGAAGAAGAACGAAGGGCATTCCACACTGAAAGAAAGCGACACCTGTATGAAAGCAGGCACACAGAGTAGTCCTGGAGCAGCTGTTCAGGAGAATACCTTTTACCTGTGCACTCTTCAGATGTTCATGGTACTTTTCATGGGCACAATAAAAAGGAGGATGGCATAAACACCAGGACAGGTACACTGTGCTCCAGAGTTTCTGTCGCTTCCTCCTAAAAGGCACATCAGCAGGACTGAGGTCCCTGGCCCCAAAAGATGTGTCAGTGGGGGGCTGCCTTCTTTTCCCAGTAACCTTCAGCCTCACGGCTTTGCATTAATAAGATCACGACATCGCTTCCACCTGTCCTTCTTGAGGCAGGCCAGCGGTGGCAGGGTAGTCCGCCAGAACTGCCTGGAGGCAGTGAGGAATCAGGCTCAAGCCAGGAAGAGTGGAGGGGCTGTTGGCCACCAGAGGAGCAAACACAGGGCGCAACCTGGGCAGAAATGCCCCCCCCAAGGTCAGCCACGGAGTGTGGGTGTTCTTTTGGATCCTTCTCCTTCTGGAAGGCCAGGTGGTGGCAGTGGCCAGGTTCAGCTGAAGCACTTTCTTGAGGGAAAAAAAGACCTAACCACAGGGAGGCATGTCCTAATCCTTTACTGTGACACATGCCCTTTAAAAATGTTGTGAAAAGACAGCTAGGGCAAAATGTGCCTGCAAGACAGCCCACCCCATGTGCTTCATAGGCCTCCAGCTTATTTCTGGGCACAAATCAAGCTCCTGGTGTTGACCTATAAGGCAATGAATGGTTTGGGGACAAGCTATCTAAAGGACCGCTTCCTTGCAGGTGATCATCATTGGGGAGCCTGAAGAAAGGATGGATGGATGGAAGGGAGCGTTTACCTCAAAACATGCCAGGCATAAAATGCCACACGTCCATTACAACACCAGAAAGGATGGATGGATGGATGGAAGGGAGCATTTACCTCAAAACATGCCAGGCATAAAACGCCACTCGTCCATTACAACACACCCCTTCCAACACACACACATATAGTGGGACTCTAGCCACTCCAGTTATTTCGAATATAATGCCAGCCAGCATTATCTGCTGGTCATATGGCATGAGAAGGTGTCTCTAGGCAACCTTTCCAACATGTTACTAACCTTTTAAGCAAACATTACCTGTGGATGGATCTCCCGAGTCAGCCCTCCAGGATTCAATGATGAGGGAGAATGTACCCTGAAAGGCCGAGAAACAGAGAGGCGGCAAATGAGGGACTTGAGGTGGTGGGGCAGAAGGAAAGAGGAAAAGGTGGGCAGATATGCAGGGAAGTTGCGTTGGGTTGTCCTTTTCTCTTCTGGGGTGGTGGAGATGCAGTTCTGTGGGTTGGTCATTTTTGGGGAGGGTGTGTGTGTGGTATCTGCCGCAAGCAACTTCAGGCAGAGCCACCATCTCCGTTGCGAGCGTCCATCCCAGCCCTCGATTCCACCTCATAGATGAGTACAAAACAAAAGGGTGAAGCCAGTCTGTGGGAACAAGACACTAAAAAGGGGGATCCTTGGCCTTTCCAGATTCTGGAAGGTAGCCTAGAAGCTTTTTCTTCAATGGCATCACCACTGCAGAATTTCCGCTTTGAGACAAAAACTCTGCTGGCAATGATGCCAAATCCACATTTATTTTCCATAAAAAACAAGTTTTGTTTAGGTGGAGCCATTGGCTTTGCCCTCCCATTGTTGTCTCCTATGCCAAACTGTATTACTAATGATTAATGAGGAGGTCAGTTTGTGTGGGAAACTAAAGTTCCCACTTTAGTTCTCTCTCTCTCTCTTTCTCTCTCTGGGGAACAGAGCAGGACCCCATAAAGGAAAGCTTTTCAACATTGAGATTGTGCTTTGCAACCTATAGGCATATTCCTGAAGCAGCTTGAAAGAATGGCACCCTTAACAAAAACACACATCTATAGTTCCACAAAAGCCGCTATGGAGTTGCCTCCCTTCTGGCCATTAACTAAAATCCAAACTATTTTTAATAAACTGTGTGAGGGAGGCGAAAAAACTCCTTATTTTTAACTTTCTCTCATAACTGAACACACAAGCACACACAGCCCGTGTTGTCAGGTGCCACTGCCGCCCCCATCTTCTGTATCAAACAGCTTTTGAAATAAAACTGAAGTGACTTTTCTCCTCAGGATTGTTTTGTCTTTGCTGTTTGTTCAGCTTTGGTCAGATGGG